GGAAATCGCTAACGTAGACGCCGGCTGTCCGTGACGCCCTCGCCTGGGCCAGTCGCTAGCATGGTCGAGTACCAGCCATAGGCCAAAGGAAAATAAAAGCAAAGCAATAAAAAAAGGGAAATAATTAATAAAAAAATCGAAAATTATTTAAAAAATTATAAATAATTGTCCACGTCAGTGCCGGCCGTATCACGTAGGACAGCCACGCATTCACGTTAGCAATTCCAGCCTAAATTAGTTGGATGAACTGAATTGGTACCAACGTGAAAAGATTTCGGACAAAATTGATCCAATCGAAAGGTTTAAAACTGGATTAATACCAATGCAATAGGTTTATGATTTTTTTGGCACTTTTCCCCCCTTTGAGAAACGTAACTTTTTGAAGGTTGAATAAGACGCAAATGATCCTAAATGCAATTTGCAAGGTGGGTTCTGTGAGGGCTATTACCTTGGTTGTATCGTTGGTCAACACTCAATGGATAGGATGCGATTTCCCGGATGTATATGCCATATGGAACATAACTAGTGCATACTAACCGGGGAAATCGGTCTTGAGTAGAAATATGGGTCAACATTAATACACTGGTAATTCCATAAACTCAAATTGCTTGGCTTTGTAGCGAGAGGTTGGACGTGGAGTTGCACCATATCGTCTTGCCTGCTGCTTTTGCTCTCGCGTCAAAATAGAAATTGGAAGATCGCCTGGATCGCGGATACGCTATATGGATGCGCAATTTCTGCATGAAAACCTTTGAATTTCCTCCCGACAAAGACTGGAGCGTAAGTTTGGAATTATCAACTTCAGGATAATTCTTGATGACTGAATCAGAGGCATGTAGTTGCCTGTCTAAGCGTGCTGCATAAGCTAAACCCGAGACCCACTGTCCGTCCCAGTGAATTTCGTGTCAAAGGTTCCACATTGTCGTAATGTTCTCTGGAAACAAGAGTGGACCTTATCCGCGCTTGTTTTTTCTTTCTTCTTTTTTAATATCTGGTTTTCTTGGGAAAGTGTAATCGCCCACCTTTTACTGTTCTTGCATCGAGCTAACGAATTATACACTGTTTGGAAACCCACTTGCCATGATTCAGCATGGCGAGCACGTCGGGCTATCCTGTAAACATGTGGGGCTATATTCATTTCCTGGGGATAAGACTTTCAGACAGAGATCGGAGAGACCCAGAATGGTTGAACCACTCATGAAGTGAAACGTGGAGCTGTGAATGCATGTTGTCTATTGTGTGTTTCGAAAAAAGAAAATCTCACTCCCTTGTCCCGTCCTCATTCGTCACAGTCCCGCAGGAAGATTTCTGAGGGAAACGTTTCTGGTGAGCATTCCTGTAGCTTCACCCACTAATTTTTTCTGCGTGTAGCTGATGATGGTGGTGATTTCTTGTTTTGAGCGGTGAAGAATAAAGATGTCTCGTTTTATCCCAGAATCTTTGCCTTGAAGTTCATATCTTGCTTCGCTAGTGTGACCTGCAAGTTTTTAAGCATTGCTATAGTAACCTTTCGGTTAACGTACGTGGATCTGGCGAGGTGGTTAAGATTGACTTGAGGTTGACAGAAGAAATGGTGGGACTTTCCGGACGAGATAATTGGTGAAGTCTTGATCCGTCTACCTGCTAAATCCCTGGTCCGGTTCCACTGCATATCGAGATCGTGGAATGCCCACCTCGCCAGTCATTTGTTTGTTCAATCTCACCTAGATCGTTCGCTTAGTTGTCGCAGCATTAAGCTGCTCCGATACAAAAGAGAAGGCTTTTCGAGAATTGGGATCTGGTCTGGCGGCAGCGACAAGTTCTGTAGGCTTGATCCTCAATTTCAACCCAGCATTGACAATTTTTAGTTGGTGGATTCATGCAATGGAGTCATTTGTTTGGCCACTCTCGCCAGAGGGAACCGCAGTGCCTCCAACATATATCTTTGGAACCCCTCCATCAATGAGTTCACGGCCCTCCCACCGCCTGGATGTCCCGTCTCCGATGCGGTTGGCTTCGGGATTAATCCATATAGCGGGCATCTGGATGATTTTAAAGGGATTAGTATTAGAAATAGGTACGCCTATGATTCTGAATTCAGATCTTCAAGGAGCTCCTCGGGGGCTGAGATATATAGTTTGAGAGGAAATTCATGGAAACGAATCGAGAGAGCTTTGCCTTTGTGGTATTCTTACTATCTGGGTCGCCAAGTGATGTATAAGGAAATTATTTGCTGGTGCGCCAATCCAAGGGAAGACCATCATTCGACATGGTTGCTTGTTTCTTTTGATGTGATCAATGAGTTATTCACCGAGATGACGCTTCCGGAGAATATTGCTTTTTCTGAGAAGAGTATAACCACAATAGAGGGATGCGTGTCAATCTCAGGGCACGCATCATATCGAATTTATGAAGTATGGATCATGAAAGAGTTCGGAGTCCCTAAGTCTTGGACCCAGTTGTACCGGATCAAACTTCCGGAATATTCGCCCATGCATTATGGGCTGCTTGGGTCTGCAGAGGCAGGAGAACTTGTGTTTTTGATCCTAGGTTTACATTCCCAGGCCAACCCCGCATATATTGGTTCATATGATCTAGAGAGTAAGCAGTTTAACCAATGCATCAAGCTTGATGCGTCATCTGCAAGTGGAAGCTGCTTGGTGGATTACGTTGATAGTCTGGTTTCAGTTCTGCCTAAACACACAGCAGAATGTGCTCGCTCAGTTCATACAAATAAGCTGATCGGCTAATCGATTCTTGTTATTTTCACCTTGGATTTGCTTATTGTCAAGCTCCAGCTACTTTTCTGAAGCATTAACAGACGGGAGTGTGCCTAGCTTTCTTGCTCATGCATCTGCTCTTGTGTTTAGCATTATCTCTTTCTGATCATGCATTGGGCATTTCATCAATAGGAGCAAATATTTCTTAGAATTGTGGACATGCTTAAGTTGGTGATCAAGTCTTGGTACTTTGCTCTTGCTTAAGTGTCAATGATTGAATTGCTTCTACATAGTAATTGCAACTGTGGTGTTCTGATTTCACTAAACCGTTACATGATGTCCCAGAACAGGAGCACAGTGATGAAAGGCAGTTTTATCTAAACTCCCGCTAGCTTTTACAGAATTGATAAAAAGGTTTAATCATTCTGACTATGCTCCTTATATCCGAAAGCAATAATAAACTCGGGAAAATGACACAAACAGTTCCTGAACTTTGGCCCAATGTGCAATTTAGTCCCTGAACTTTTAATTTGTTCAATGTAGTCCATAAACTTCAATCCAATGAGCAATGTGGTCCCTGAATTTTTGATTTGTTCAATATCATCCCTGAATTTTTTTATATAAGTTCAATTCAATCCCTGAACTATATGAAAATGTTCAGTGTAGTCATATACATTAATTCAAATTCAGGAACTACATTGAACATTTTCATATAGTTCAGGGATTGAATTGAGCATACACCAAAAGTTCAAGGATGACATTAAACAAATTAAAAGTTCAGGGACCACATTGAACATTAGCTTAAAATTCATGGACTACATTGAACAAATTAAAAGTTCAGGGATCAAATTGCACATTGGGCCAAAGTTCAGGGATTGTTTGTGTCATTATACTTAATAAACTCTGTTTCTGAGTTCTCTTTCTCTGAGATTTAGTTGCAGCAAAAGCTAAAACTTTTCTGTTCTTTTTTGGCCCTTCAAAGTTTAGGGTTTCACAGCTAGCTAAAGTTTTTGCTGCGATGAAGCTAAGACAGTTGCTTGTTCGTCAGGGACACTTTACGAGGTATTTTGCTAACCATGATGGTGATATAAGCAATTAGCACAGAAATTGAAACAGAATGTGAATCAGATAGCTTGACATAGGTGAGTGAGCATATGGTCTGTAAAACGTTCCGAACTTGTTGGCTTAACCTTGCACTTAGAGGCATGCAGGAATTTCATAAAGAGTCATCAGATATGCTTTGGTTAACTATTTGTGGTCATCTAAAGACTTTGCTCTCACCTCTTACAGCAATTACTGAGAAGAGAGAAATTGACCTTGAAAGCCTTGTTCCATGCGACTGTTGCACCGAATTTCATTCACAACGTTACTCTCGTGTCTTTCTTCATTTTATCATAGGAGTAGTATCTGATGAAAACAATGTACGATCGGTTTTCATGGTTCATTCAGGCATCGGAGCTGCTTCTTGACACAATAGCATGCCGGCAAAGCATATTCTTCTGTTGAATGAATGAAAAGTAAGCTAAGATTATTGGCCACAACAAGACAAACAGGAAATAGAAAGGAAATGACATGCCACAAGAGATGTGATCTATCTCCTTTTGACAGACGGCTCAAAAAGCTGAATCTAAAAATGTTAAGCGCCGCAAGAGCTGTGTGATCTACCACCCACTCACTTTTTTTGGTTTTTTGTCTTCCCCTTTTTTAAAAGTCTTTGCTTCACCAACTCTCATCTACATTCTCATTTTCCACTCTAAACATCTTCACAGAAATAACTAATTTTTTACAGATCAAAATCTCTTGCAGGCAGGAGCAGATTGAAGATGCTGACAGTAGGTGCTTTTGACATGCCTTCCTAACACACCCTTCACTGGAGAGGTGAGGGACATGGTCCAGAGAGAGGGTTCATTCATCATCCTATCAGCTCGCAACTTTTGAAGTCGATTGGTACCTGTTCGACAATAACAGAAAACGAAAACCATAGAATTCGACGAGGCAAGGAGTGGAGAAAACGACACTGTGGTGTAAGTGCTGTTACAGGGTTGATGCTCGCTTGTCACTTCAGAGAAGGTATAATAGACGATTTGTTCAAGTACGTGATGCGTGTGGGAGAAGACAAAGCGCGTCGACATTGTCCTTTCCGCGACACGGAATCCACAGTGTTCAGATAGCAGGAACATGGAACCACAAATTCAAGATAAGATCGATACAATGTGCTCGTGATAAAAAGAAGTTGCTTCAGATGTCATTAAATACCTTACGTCAGCACAACCACGAGGACCTGGCCCAAGAGGCAGTGGCTTAACAAAGGAAAACATGTAACAGCGTTTCACAATGCGCATTTCAACGAGTACTGAAGTTCCCAATTCGGATATAACATTCACGCTTTCTGTCAACTCATCCACATACACTTAAATTCGAAGAGGATATAAAGGGATTCACATAAATGACAAAATTGAGACTACTGCAAAGCCAAAGCCGCTGGAATTATTTAAAGCAGCTACATCAACCAAACCATTCATAATGCAAATCAATCAGCAACAGTATACATATTTTACGCCTCTGTATGGCAGGACACCTGTCTTTTCTTACCAGGGAGCTTTCTTTGAGGAACTGTAATCAGTTAAAAACCCATCAAATGGATCTGCAAGATCAGAGAACTTGTTACAATTATGTAACGACAACTTATTGCTTCACGACCATTAGGGAAAAAGAAAGGCAATCTCAATAGTCGCTATGAGAATACAGGATGGCACCATTGGCCCAGATGTATCTGCATTCTTCATTTTTCAAGGCTTATGACCAAGTATGGTGGGAAGCTGTCCTTTTACGAGGGGAAGCTCATTCAGTCTTTATTTTGCAAAAGGCAACCTCAGTAGGATTCTATAGTATCTGATAGTGCAGACAAATGGTTGATATCGGACATAAAGTGTAAATCTTGCCTCATGATTTTGTCTAGATGATTCCAATATATAATTAATAAAAAAAAATATGACTTCATTTTTCGAAATAGCTATCACCTTTGGTGGCCACTTAACTGATAAGCTGAATCTGACCAACAAAAAAAAGAAACTGATAAGCTGAAATTTTCAGGAATTAAGGATGGCCATTACAAACAAGATATATATCAATTCCAAAAAATAATGCCAACCAGTAGTGAGCAAAATACAAGCACGATGCCTTTTTAATTAGAGATGGCAAGGGAATCCTTCACTAAAAAACTCAATCAATGCCCTCACCGCCTACTTCAAATTCCAACCACAAAATAAAAAGGAAGAAGAACAGAAATATCTTGTATAGTATTTTTTTTTTTTTTTTTTTGGTCCAAGCTTGTATAGTATTTCACAAGATAAGCATCAGGAGTTCTATTCAAACCAACCTAAGGAAACTTGGAGCAATGAAGAGAGACTCTGCAATTGCACTGTCTTCCTGCCTTGTCATAAAAAGTCAAATCTTCTAAAGCTGTAGATCCAGTAGAAGAATACAACGTAAGGATGATAAGGCAGAATATGCCAACAGCAGAAAATTGTATTGACAGACTGAAGCTAATGTAAATAAAGCTAAACCGGAGAGCATTTTGGAGAACCTCCCAGGTCCAATTAACATGAAGATTGTTTATGTCAATACAGGGGAAGTTACAAGTTCCAAAAAACTTCAAGACACTTTATCATTGTAGGTTCCGTGTTCCAACTTCTAAGTATTACTTGTACTGGAACATGCAAAGCCGGTCCTCAGGTAGACGCGGAACCAGTTCATATTCCTTATGAAAATAAATTTAGACAAAATATTGTGAGGACAATGCATTTCCGATTAAGGTATTTTCCTCTACAGCCAAAAGATTTTTAGGAGAAGATAAAAATATCGAAAAGCTCCGTTTAAATGAAAGTGAACTCTTTCGCCAGAAAATAGAAATGGCCTTTACCATGACAAAATCTTATTTGAAAAAAAAATGGCCCCTCACCATGTCAAATTATGAGTTCTATGTCTCTCCTATCAAATATAATGCTTAACAAGGTGCACCTAAGAACTACCTTTGAACATTCAAAATCACAAATATGATTGTATTTTCAAAGAATATAGAACGTATTACTTCACTTAATTTCAGAGAGTCATACATGATTTATGTTAAACAAAAGAAGATATCTCTAAGTAGATCAGAAACATCTAACTTCTGAACAGCAAGAGAGAGGCAAAATAAACAAAAAAGTTTGACTTGGTGCAACAAGAAAATTAACATTAGCAAAGAAAAAATGCTATGCTACATCTGTTGAGGTGCATGACAAAGCAAAAGCAGCAAGCAATAACATCAGCATGAGATATTACCCACAAGATGATCACTTACATGATTCATATATGCTTGCCCAAGTACACAGCACAAATAACCCACACCAAAACTTTAAGTACCTGATGCGCAGTTATATCTCAGATATTGCCTTGAAGCCCTCCTTTTCAAGAGTTTTAGCTATGGAGATGTCACCTGTCTTCACAATCTTTCCATTCTCCTGGTGAACCAAACAACAAAGGAGGACCTTGTGAACCAATATGCACAGTCAACGAAAAAATGGACACATCTTGGCAATTATAAAAATCACGAGTTCGTACACCACCAGCCAAGTTTAGGATAATTGTATCATTTCTATTTCAAGTATCGGAAAGTCAGTGACGGAGGAATCACATGACAGGGGTATTAAAGAATGATTTTGAACTAACAAAAGCAAATTGCCAGAAATCTGTTATTAATTTTGACAAGTAACTAAATTCATAAAGAGCACCACGGGGGTTGTCAAACAGATTCTTCAGACTTTTAGTTGAAGAAAGATTCCTGCTTTTTTTTTTTTTTTTGTTGAAGAGAAGCTGCATTTTCTTTCCACAATACTCGACATTCAGCTTTCCTGCGCAAAAAATTTCATCTCTCAAAACACAATATGGTACACATAAGTGCTCATTTTTCTTTTCTTTTACTCTGTTTGGGATAAGCAGAAAAATTGGCTATCCATTGGTTCCTATATATCCTCCATAACTCAAAGCAAGTTGTAGCCTCATAGGAAAGACAAAGGAAAGCTTTGCATAATTGATTTGCTTTTCAACATCATTCTTTTTTCTTTTTTTTTTGTCACCATCATTCTTATGAATTGCCTAAGTTTTACCTTTCCATTTGAAGGTCACTACTTTTCCTTGACAAGAGCAATCATTGCTTCAATAAAATATGATTGTGTGCACAAATGACTTATCAACAATGCTACCCCAACCCTTCTTTTCACGAGTATTGTCATGCCAACTCTGATATTGGGAAAAATGTAGCTATTTTAAACATTGACATTCAACTTGGAAACTTAGAGTGTCATCAAATCCTGTCAAGGACCGTGCTATTTACTTCTCCCAGATGCATTATCAGAAAGGGAAAAATGTTGAACTTGTGCGAAGGATGAAAAAAGATAAATTTGAGAGGACTTACCATTACATGGACATACCTAGGTTCTATGAACTCCAGGAGTCTTAAATAATGAGTAATCATCAAAACAGAATTCTTAGGAGTCAAAAGTCCATTTACTGCTTTTGCCACATCTCTAAGTGCATCAACATCCAGCCCAGAATCAATTTCATCCAATATAGCTAATTCTGCCCCAAGAACCTGCAAAGGCATGCATATACATCTTACATAATTTAACCAGGAAGGCTTGAGAAATAAGAAGAGAGAGAGAGAGAGAGGCCACATATTCCTTTGGAGAAACATATTCAGAGCATATTCTTTATGCTTTAATTATCTGCACGCTACATAGTCTTTTGGTGGTCTATATGAAACACATTATCAATGTGACCCATTTCTACAAATCTATAGTATGCTCCCTTTTTTGAATGTAATAATAAATATAGTAAAACCTACCGCAAGTTGTAAAATTTCGTTCCGCTTTCTCTCTCCACCACTAAATCCTTCATTGACATTTCTGTTCAGGAAGTCTGCCTTCATGTTCAGAAGATCAAGTTTTGGATATACATAAGCCCAAAACTGCACGAAAGAATTTTCGTCAGAACAAAGATCAACCAATAGCATTGGTATTTTTCTAATGTAACAACCATCAAAAGTCAAATAGCAAGGCAAAATTTCATGTAAAGGCAGAAACAAGCTAGACAAGCAAATCAACCTTAGCTTATAATGCTCTCATTTCCTTTTTTAGAAGTAAACACAGTCCACGAGGTACAGAAATATACAAGTTAGGTAGCTAATCACCAACCAAAGTGACGATATATGGGGGTGCAAGGACTATCCAGTTGTAGTGACACAACCAATATTTAGCAAAGTAGATGAAATTAGTACGCAACAAACACTAATGCAGCACAAGCTAGGCACAGAACTCGTTCTCAGCAACTTCAATGCCCGTGGGCAGCAGCTCAAAAGTCATAATAACAAAGACAATCTGAGAAATCTCAGGAAACGAAATAAATGCTAGATACAAAAGTGAAGAGAGTAACCACATGAATGGAAGAGACTGATTAAACTATTTGCATAATACAAGCAAAAGATAGATGTTATAAGATACAATTGTACACCTCAATTGGACTAAGCTCAGGTTGATTAAGCTTTCTTCTTCGAGCATTGTATGCCATATTGAGAAAGTCAGCGTTGCTGACACCAGGTATTTCAACTGGTGATTGGAAGCTCATAAATAGCCCAGCAAGTGACCGGTTCTCAGGTTCCATTTCAAGTAAATTCTCGCCTTTAAACATCATACTGCCGCCAGTTACTTCATAATCTGGATGCCCAACAAGAACCTGCACTATCATAAGTTCACCAAATAATTCCAGGCCCGCAGAATAGATAGGTCACATCAATTTGAAATGACATGATGTATCTGATGTAGCACACCGACACCAATAACAAGAAATTACGAGCCAGCCAATCTTACAGAAGGCGAAAAGCTAAGCATAGTAAAAGGAACCTTCTATAAAGAAAAGACACTTCCATAACATCACCAAAAAGTTCCCCACCACGATCTTCCAGTGAGAAGTTACATAATTTGGCTGACCGCAAATTTGTCGCCAACAATCATCATTTTCAATACGATAAAAATAATAAGTTGTGACCCCAAAATACTTCACCCAAGAATATTTTGTTGCCACATTCAATCAACTGTATTAGATCTACCAGAAAACTTGCCACAAAATAGAGCATAATGACCTATAATTATTGATTTGGTGGGATATAATATTTCTGTCGTTCTTGTTCTTGTTCTTGTAGTGATCAACCACGTATGCTAAATGTCAATGTCTGCGGTGTATGTGGTTTTAGTTTCTCATCCCATTCTATGGATCACTAACAATTTTGCTTTTGTGCTCAGCCAAGGTCTTAAATCTAACGAAGTACCAAAAGTATAATCACAAGATCAAATTAATCCATCTTCTGACAAAAAAAACAGCTTTCAGATTCAGTCCATACACTATTGGTCTAATAAATCAATGCCTGACCCGGAAAACACACAAACAACCAACCTTCGCAAATGTGCTCTTCCCAGAACCGTTCTTCCCCATTATCGCATGAACCTAATAAAAGAACAGTTCAATCAATGTCAGAAATTCATAAGCATCTCCGAGCACAGTGCTAACTGAAAATGAACACAAACTCACGCATGTCAATTTATATCGACTCACAGATGCTAACTAGAGAGCATAGAAGAGCCCGCGCGTTTAACATATCGACACATTATTTCCAAATACGGAAAACCAAACAACCCCGAGCCTATCCAAAAACCAAAAATGATTACAAAAATTCCCTCGAAGCTGAAAAGAATTCTCAATTGACGACAACAGCAAAGAGCAGACAACACAAGCTCATGAAATCCACAGTAAGATCGAATTCTCGAAGAACAGCTCATCGCGACACCATCACACCACCTACGAATTTCACCAACTACGAGCTCCTTTCAACAACCACTTCAAACCAATCGCGCCCAACTAAACAGTCGAAGCTCAAACTCAACACAAAAGCAAACAGCGAGCGCGAAACGGACCGAACAGCCAAACGACCGAACCGACCTCTCCCTCGTAGATGGCGAGGTCAACGCCCTTAATAATCTCCTGCCCCGTCTCGGCAATCACGGCGGTCAAGCCCCTGACCTCGAGCAGGAGCTCCCCGTCCCCGCTCCCGGCGGGCGTCGCCGCGCGGTCGACGGTCGGGAGGGCGGCCCTGACGGCGCACCGCGGGGCGATCGGGGCCGGGCGGCGGCGGCGAGCGGCGGAGCGGAGCGGGACCGGGAGCTTGGAAGAAAGAGGAGGAGTGGACGGAGGAGGCTGGATTCTGCAGGAAGGAGGAAGAAGATGAGGAGGGAGAGTGCAGCGGCCGTGGAGGGAGACCGCCATGGGAGGTTGCGCGGTGGTGAGCGACGGTGGTGAAGCCATGGAAGTGAAGCCGCTTTTCTAGCCTGAGAGCTCAAATGGACTCTTTCCTACCTAAAAACTTCTCTCTCCGCTATAACTAAAACATAAAAAATTAAAAAATTTCACGAATGGTCCTCAAATTTTGGCTCAATTTGTAATATGACCCACGAACTTTTAATTTATTTAATGTAATCCCTAAATTTTAGAAAAATTCTAAATAGATTCCTAAAATGGCCAAATCGTCTCAAATAAGGACTTTTGACCGGGCGAATAACACGTAACTGTTCTGACAAAAGGGATTTTAGTCAAAAAAAATTCTAAGTATATTTTTAAAATTTTTTGATTTTTTTACTTTCCTTTTCCTTTTTTTCTTTTTTCCTCTTTCCTCCCATGACATCACCGTGCCTCATCGATGGCCGGCAGAGGTCGTCGGCCTAGGCGAGAGCGAGGGTTGCATCGCCTTGCCTGGGCTGGCTCGACGCCGGTGAGGGCGGCACTCGCTTGAGTCCAACGACCTTTGCCGGCCATCGAAGAGGCTTGGCAATGCTCGGCGGAGGGAATAGGGAAAAAGAAAGAGAAAAAAGAAAAGGAAAAAATTCAAAAAAAATTCAAAAAAAAAGAAAGGACGAAAATGCCATTCGGCCGGCGAGGTCAGGCCCTTCTTTGAGACTGATACGGTCTACTTCAGATTCTTATTTGAAAAAATGAGAACATTTCATATCATTATTTGGAATTTTCTCCTAAACTTTTGGTACATATTCAAATTAGTTGCCTAAAATATATGTGCGCAATTTCAAGAAGTCTTAATTTTTTTTTTATAATCCCGAATGTACCATATTGATGGGGAAGTGTGCTCTTAAAATTGCATGAAGAGGTAAATCAGTCGAGATGCGCAGAAACGAGTCTAACACCACATGACTGTTGGATATTTCGTTCACTTGCCAATATTCTCACAATGACTTTTGAGTAATTCCATATTAATTTCTCGTGCCATGCTTGTCCATCCAAAAACGGCACAAGACCCTAATATCTTTTATTAATCGGTGAAAAGAGTAAAAAGGAGACACGAATACCGGCGATTCCCATGGACGTCCCCGTAAAACCTCTTCATCGCGACAGAATATTCGGTTTGAGTTGTAATTACGGTTCAGTTCGATAGAACTTGTCACCACCATCCACCACGGCATTAGTGGGAGCAGAGCCGATGTTATTCTACACCGCAACACGATCGAATCTACGCTGCCGCGATGAACAGAGGTTTCCTTTCGCCTTTTTCCTTTCTTTCTTTTGTCCCCCCTTGAAGATCCCTCGGAGCTGCCTCTGGAAGTACATTCTTGTTTGGCTAGCCATGTTCCTCGATGATGTGTTTGCAAAGCAAGACGTAAAGAGTAATCATGCAAGCGACAATATAATGGCAAGAACTCCAAGAAAGAACCCCTACGTAGGCCAAAAGTCCTACGTTGTTTCCAATTGATTCATCACCATTTTATATTCGAACTCGTGAGCAACTCCGAAATTCAAAAGGCACGAGGTACGTTGCAAGTCGTGGCAGGCCTTCCAGATGAAGTAACGACGGAGATCTTGCTGCGTCTCCCGGCGAAATCTTTGGTCCGGTTTAGGTGCGTATGCAAATCTTGGAATTCACTGCTCGCCTCGACCTCTTTGATCGAAGCGTATCGCGATCGATCATCGAGATTCGGCGACAACTATCTTCTCAAGTACAATAGCAACGATTCCTCGAGGGTAGGGATATACGATTTCGGTAGTCATTTGCTCTCTAATCTCGATCCTTCGTTTGATCTGAGTAATGATACATACGAGTTAGTGGGTTCATCCAACGGGATCATCTGTCTGTCCACGTACGATGAAAATGACTATACTCGATCGAAGATAGTTCTTTGGAACCCATCGACCAACGAGCGGTGAGGCCTTCCTCGACCCCGCTTTTGCGTGTCGGAACTGATCGGTTTCGGGTTCGATCCCCCGTCCAGCGGCGGCCATCCCGGCGATTTCAAGGTGGTCAATGGAAGAACGGAATGCGGGTTCTTCAGGGGCCGTTGCTCGCAGGTGGAGGTTTACAGCCTGAGGCGAGATTCCTGGAAGCGGATCGGCAACACATTCCCTTGCGAGATCGATCACGAGTGCTTGGGCACTCAAGTGGTCTTCAGGAACTTCGTGTGTTGGTCGTGCCAATACGACGCGTCGCTGGTCCTGTTCGATCTGGTCGGGGAGGTTTTCCATCGGATGGGCCTGCCGCAATCCATGCGCGCGGTGACCGAACACATATCCTTGCTCGACTGATGTCTGTCCCTGATCGCATGGAAGCCATCATGCCACAGTCGCGAGGTGTGGATCACGAAAGAGCTTGGCACCGTCGAGGCACCCTGGACTAAGTTGTACACCATCGATCTATCTCCGACTTGGAGCGCCATCTCGCGATACTCGCCGCTCGGATTTGCAGGCTCTAGGGGCATTCTCTTCGTCAAGGACTCCTCTTCCGGCCGGCGTGTGGTGTCCTACAACGTAGGGACAGCACAGTTCGAAGAACTCGAAGTCGAAGTCGATTCAGTCCAGAGCTGCCGGCCGGTTACCTACACACACAGCTTGGTTTCTCTTATGAAAATTTAAAGACAACTAATTTCTGAAATTTATCTGTATTTATTGATCAATTAGAGTTACATTACTAGGCTGATTAAATTTGGCAAAACTCTCATCTGAATGACTTCCTCAATGGGGCATGAAAAGGGGCGAAGGCCAATCCAAGAATCACTTCCTCTCTCATTGTTTCAAAGAGGGGGAAGACAACATCCTTTGCCCATGTCCAAAAGCAATCAAAAAAAGAAGACTGAATGAATAATTTCACAATGTGGAGGATGATGTGTGGTGATTTAACGGTGATAACGGATGGAAATTTGTAGCCGGTGTCATTTTTGTCCTATTGGTGAAAGGTTGAAATTTTTCTTTGTCCGCCGGTTGCCGGGCCTTGGCGATGGCCGGCAACAGGCCAAAAGTAACAACCAACGAGGGTCGCCCTCGCCGGCCTCAGGCTTCTCGGCCTAAGGCTGATGAGAGTGACCCTTGCCGGTCGTTGCCTATAGCCGGTTGCAGGGCCTCGGCGACCAGCAAAGCAAGGAGGAAAGAAAATAAAAGAGAAAGAAAATAAAAAATTGTAAAAATTGTCTATGTCAGCATCAGTCGTACCACGTAAGTTGGCCAAAGTCCATGTCGACGATTTCCGACCAAAATTCGCAGGATGGACCACATTGGCAAAATGTCAAGGTTTAGGACTGAAATGACATAAACGTAATAAGTTTTGGACTTTTTTAGTAATTTCCCCCAACAACAGAGTATTCAATTGAAGTCATTACTACTCATTTTGAGCAAACCCATCATCGCTACCGACCATGGTGTTAAACTGTTAATAGGAGTAGAGTCGGAAGCACTTTCTTGTTCGGCTAGATATGAAATTGTTCAAGCGATTGTCTAGTGTCCACACCTGATTTCGTCATTATCTACTTTCCTCGAAGATGTCTTTGCGAGGCAAGATGTGCCAATTAATCAGGCAAATATGACAATATCATGGCTAGAACTCCAAGAACGAACCCTTCAATAGGCTAAAAAATCCTGCGTTGTTTCCAGTTGGATCCATCACCACTTTATACCGAACTCTTGAGCAAGTCCGAAAATTCAAGAGACGCAAGTGGTGCTTTGCAAGTCATGGCAGGCCTTCCAGATGAAATAGCAACAAGGATATCTTGTTGCGCCTCCCGGCAAAATCATTGGTCCGAATTAGGTGTGTATGCAAATCTTGGAATTCGCTGGCTGCTCACCTCGACCCTCTTTCATCGAAGTGAATTTCGTGTGTCGGTGCTACCAATGCGACGCGGTGTTGGTCCTGTTCGATCTAGTCGATGAGGTTTTTCATCGAATGGTCCTGCCACATTCAAATGACTGAGCAGATATGTCTGTTGGAGGGATGTTTGTCCCTGATTGCATATAAGCCATCATGTCGCAGTCGGGAAGTGTGGATCAGGAAAGAGTTTGGCGTCGACCAGTCCTGGACCAAGTTTCGCAAGATCCGACTATCTTCAACTTCAGGCGGCCTTCTGCAATATTTAAATTTGCAGGCTCCCAACGCATTTCTTCATCAAGACCTCATTTTTCGGTCTGCATCTGGTGTCCTACAACATAGAGACAGCACATTTGAAGACTTCGAAGTCGAAGTCGATTCAGTCCAGAGCCGTCGGTTGGTTTCCTACACACAGAGCTTGGTTTCTCTTATGAACACTCAGACAGACTAATTTTTTATGTAAGTACACGTATGTTTTGATAAATTAGAATTACGTTACTTGACTGATTAATGTCGCAAACTCCCATCTGAATAACTTCCTCAAAGGGGCGTGAGAAGGAGTGAAGGGCAATCCAAGAATTACTTCCTCACCAATTGTTTCAGAGAGGGTGAAAACAACATGCCTTGTCCATGTCCAGAAGCAATAGAAGAGGAATAAGAATCAATGAAGCCATGAACGATAAACCATAAGAACACCCACCACCTCAATAAGCCTCCTTGTCTTGCAAACAACTCTATATCCCAACAAGAGAGAGATTGAGAAGTAAAACCAGAGAGAAGAGAGAGATAGAGAGAATGGCTGCGCGATCAGGAACCGGACGATCACCCACCTCTTCATCTTCGCAACCACAAGCGATGACGGGTCGGCCCAGTCATGAAGACATCAAACCGAAGTCAGCAGAGTGGAAAGAAGAAAAAACGACTCATATTTTGAATGTCCATCTTCCAGGTACATATGAATTTTTATGATGTATGATTTATATATCCATGTAAGAAAAAAAAGAAAGACATTTTCATGGGCGAAGCATAAATTCTTGCGTGTCGTCTTCGAACGTCGCAGGTTTCGTTAAGGAGCAAATTAGGGTGACCTACAATGACGACTCGCGCTCCTTCAATGTCCAAGGAGACCGTCCTCTCGGGAACAACCGTTTCGGCCATCTCAATGTGGATTTCACCGTCCCGGACAACTGCAAGTTGAAGGACATGCAGGGCAAGTTCCAGGATGAGGTGCTCACGATCACAATACCAAAGGAATACGTTTCAAAGTCCTTTGTTCCCAAGGAAACCACCACAAGTGCACAATCACCACCAGAAAAGCCCCCAAGCATCGCTCAAAAGCCTCCAGTGATCAGTGAGCCACCAAAAGTGCCACCACAAATGCCACCACCTGAAACTGCTTTCTCCTCTGCCACCAAAAAACCAGAAAGACAATCAGATTTTGAGAAATTGAAGTCTCCAAATGGCGAACCGACAGGGAAATCTCTCGACCGTAAAACAGCCGAGAGGCCCGGCGAGAAAGTCCCGGGTAAGGGAAAAGAAACATTGGATGTGCCAAGCACGTCGTTGGAGAAGGAAATGAAGAGGGCCAATGACACTGATGTTGCAGGTTTTGATGGAAAAGAGATGAGGACACCAAAAAAACCAGATTTGATCAAATCAAAAGCAGGAGAGAGTAAGAGTGGTGCTGATGATGCTAGGAAGAAGAAGAGGGATGCGAAAGTGGGTGAAGCAGAGAAGCAGTTGCTTGTGAATGTGGGTGTGGCAGCTCTTGTGCTTGTGGCATTTGGGGCTTATGTTGGTTACAACTTTGCTTGTCCTAGGTCAGCAGGGGAGTAATCTACCTTAGGATCATGTCTGAATATATGTTCATCACATATTTATGGGTGTGAAATAACATTAGAGGCAGTGAAAGAATATATATACACGTGTTCTTCTTCAAATGCATATTTGTATAGTACCTTGAATACACAATTCTAGTGAATACTAGATTATAGGATCCCATGCTTGACTACAATTTATTTAGATAGCTCACTTTTGTTCATTCTTGCTCGGAAGCAATTGAATTCGTGACGAATTCAATTTGTGCTCATGTGCTTTGGATTGATCACAACTTTCATGCATACTCTTGTTCGTTCAGCATTATCCGTGTCTTGTTTGTTATCGGTCCATCCATATTGTCTCGTGTTAAAAATTACACGACGGTATTAGCTCATGATAGATAATCTCGGACATATAATAATAAAATTGGAGTGCTAATAACTCTATTATCGAATCTGCAACTCTTTTCATGCAGATACAATAGCGGTACGGGAGCATAAATAACAGTAGAAAGGTTTCTATTACTTAGCCGAAAAAATATGTGGCCATGAAATAGGAATTAAGTCGAACAGAATTGATTGAGTGGTAGAGTCGTGGAAACACCTCTTTCTTCCCTATTTTGGACCTTAGCTCCACGGAAACACGGAAAAATTGAAATCTTAGATCAAAACACTATATATGGAAGGTATGAAATGCCTAAACTAGAATTTTTTAACAGCGAATAACTAGAGCTATTACTTAGTACATCAAAAAAATTAGGGATGTGCAATAATACCGGTTTACCCAGGAACCAGATCGGACCGGACCACCCGAAAAACAGGTCCGCGAACCGATTCCATTTTTTGGGAACCGGTTGGAATTGGTCCGGTTCCCGATTCCAAGTGAATATTCACCATGACCGGTTTTGGAACCGGTTTTTAGCTTGTGTTTAAAAAAAAACCTATAGATCATACTATTATTATATTTTGGATTGTTGCTTTTGGTGGATAGTAATTTTTATTACTCATCTTATAGATTATTGATTTTGGCGGATAGTGATTTTTATTATTCATCTTTTACTTTGAATCGTTTTATTGCTACTTATATTATTTTGCTGGAAAAAATGAAATTAGATAAAGGAACATAAGGAAAAGGCAAAAGTACACCACAAGTGTCATAACTTGTGTACGGCGATCACTTTGGTGCTATAACTTTTTTTCGGATCACTTTGGTGCCAAGTCGGAGCAAAAAAGATCACTTTAGTGCCAATTTGGCCGGAAATCCGACGTGGCATTTTTTATTAATTTTTTACGCCGACGTGGCTCGCCGGAGGCTGAGTCAGCATGTACAGTCAGCATTTTTAATTTTAAATAATTTTTTTAGCGTGTACAGTTAGCATTTTTAATTTTAAATATTTTTTTCCTTTTTTTTCTTCTTTCCTTTTTCTTTTCTTTTCTTTTTTTTTCTTTTCTCCCCTCGCCAGCCGGTCACCGGCGAAGCCCGGGAAGGGCTGGGCGAGGGCGGCCTTGCCCATGGCCGGCGAGGGGCGGCCAACCCTCGCCGGCGACAGACGAGGCCGGCCCTCGCCGGCCCAGGCGAGGGCTGCCCTCGCCCGACGCCGGCGAGGGTCGCCCTCACCAGATCCGGCGAGGGTCGCCCTCGCCGGAGTCAGGCGAGGGCGACCCTCGCCGGCGTCGGGCGAGGGTCACCCTCGCCGGCGTCGGGCGAGGGCAACCCTCGCCCGACACGGGCGAGGAAGCCCTCGTCGGATCCGGCGAGGGCGACCCTCGCCGGCGTTGGGCGAGGTCGCCCACGCCCGACTCGGGCGAGGGCGACCCTCGCCCGCCCGGGCGAGGCGCCCGCGCCGGCGTCGGGCGAAGGAAGCCCTCGCCCGAGTCGGGCGTGGGCGACCCTCGCCCGGCGCCGGCGAGGGTCGCCCTCGCCGGGCCTCGCTTGTCGCCGGCGAGGTCGGCCGCCCCTCGCCGACCATGGGCAAGGCCGCCCTCGCCCAGCCCTTCCCGGGCTTCGCCGGTGGCCGACCGACGAGGGGAGAAAAGAAAAAGGAAAGAAGAAAAAAAAAGGAAAAAAATATTTAAAATTAAAAATGCTGACTGTACACGCTGAAAAAAATTATTTAAAAAAAAAATACTGACTGTACACGCTGACTCAGCCTCCGGCGAGCCACGTCGGCGTCAAAAATTAATAAAAAATGCCACGTCGGATTTCCGGCCAAATTGGCACTAAAGTGATCTCTTTTGCTCCGACTTGACACCAAAGTGATCCGAAAAAAAATTATGGCACCAAAGTGATCGCCGTACACAAGTTATGGCACTTGTAGTGTACTTTTGCCATAAGGAAAACATGTTCTTGGGTAGACTCTAAAACCAGTCCGGAAAAACATGGGAGGTTCCAAAACAGGTTCCAACACAAATAGGGTAGGTTTCAGGTTCCAAAAACTGGAAACCGATTATAATAGGGTAGGTTCCGGGTTCCATGTCTAGAACTTTCCCATCTTGAAACAGATCATCCTTAAAAAAAATTTCATTAATGGAAGGTATAAATCCATTGGAAAATCAAAACTACACATGTCGGATGAAACGATTGTTGCTATCTGCTCTAATAACGAATTATTGGTGTAAGTTTAACTGCTGCTTTTGTTCCCTCTTTTTTGTTCATTTCACTAGTGTTAGCAATGGAGAACCAATCATTGAGCTGCTGCTGCTGCCCAGCAGCAAGATACAGCAAAGCACTGTGAAGCTCGTGGTCAACAAACATACAGAGTGTGGTCACAAAAATCCACCCATCTCAATCAAATGAATCTTATTATGTGGAAGGAGAGAGGGAGAGAGAAAACATAGAGAGCAAACGCAATGGGTACAGTTGAGGAACACTGAGGAGACCAAACCTTTGTTAATTCACTGAAAGCCTTGTCATATGATTTTGTCCTCATCTTTCTCGTGATACCCTGTCAACCCTCACACACTTGTCCTTTACCTTAGAGACTATGAGATTTTTTTTCATTTTTTGTCATATAAGTGACGTGAGACCTTTTATTTTATTATCCTCATTGCAATAAGACGACAGTGAGGATAACTATGGTCACGTTATGTTATACTGTGGATTCGGTAACCCAAAAAGTTATGCTTTCCGTATTGATTAATTATGTCTATACTGGTTTTATTGTTTGGTTGTTGTTGGCATGATATTGAACAGAAGAAGTTACTGTTCCATACCATTCCCTGTATTTTATCTGCTGCAAATTTTTCCGTCAACCAATTGGGCAATAACTTAATACCTTCTGATATGATTTCCAACCCATCAGATTCCATCATTGAAAACAGAACATCCCAACTAAATGTTCACGGGATATGAGTCGTATAGAACATCCTGCAAATCTCAAGAATCGATTAGGTGGTTCGGGCTTTTCGGCATATTTCAAAGATCCTGACACAGAACAATTTACATTCAATCGGTGAAGCTTAATAATTAATCTCTAGCTTCTGAGCTAACAATTTCATGACATGCCAATGGCCATCTTAATATTGGAAATTAACAATCAAGCCATCTTATATGTCCAAGCAGTTAATCTCCTCCCATGTGGATTAGACCACTTTAATCCTCTGAAATTTTGGAAATCTCAAAATACCGTAACACCTTTTCATCTGGTGGAATGTACCAGTTTCTGACATCAATACAGACCCAAAATTTTTAAAAGTAAAGAAAAGAAAAAAATTGTCGTCACCCTTCTATGTACTGTAATACCTTTCCATCTACTGTGAGATTTTGCTCATGACTGCAGAATCTGGTTTGTTTTTGGTCAATGGGTTTTCACGGTTCCAAGAAGAAAAGGTCTAGATTAGGTCTTGCTCGAGTGCAATAATATTTCCATTCAACAAATAGTTAACATCCACAATAAACCTTGTTTATTGACACGCTGTACTTTGCATTTGTCTTGTCCGGTGGAGGAACATGGCTTACTTTATTCCCTTGTACGTACATTCTCTTATGCATTCAAGCTAACTAGATAACTTCTCACCAGACATAACAGAACTGAGAGAGAGAGAGAGAGAGAGAGAGAGTTCAATCCATTCATTTGACAGTTCTTCAAGATCTCTTGAAATTTCTCCATTTCCATCTTAATATCTCTGTCTCTCATGGCCAAACAAGCATTCAATCCATTTCTACTTGTCCTTTTGGTGATATCAAGTTCAATTCACCAGTCAGCTCAGCTCGAATACACTCAATCACAAGCTCTCTTCAGAGTCCAGAAGCTCTTCCACTACCCACCAGCTCTGAGCAGCTTCTACAAAACCACAGACTTGTGCAACATTGACCCAACCCCATCCTACACATTAGTCTGCTATGAAGACAGCTTAACTCAGTTGCAGATCAATGGCCAAGATGGGATTTTCCCACTCCCTCAGCATTTTTCCACCTTTGATTTCTTTTCCATTCTCACTGCTTTTTCAAGCCTGAGAGTCCTCTCTCTGGTCTCTCTTGGGCTTGGAGGGCCTATACCTAATGTTGTTGGGAATTTATCTTCTCTTGAAATATTGAACATGAGCTCCAACAGCTTCTATGGTGCAATTCCCGAGGAGGTTTCTCATCTGAAGAATCTTCAGACTCTCATAATTGATCACAACAGGTTGGTGGGTCAAGTACCCAGTTGGCTCAGCTCTCTTTTACTCCTGGCTGTCTTGAGTTTAAGGAACAACTCTTTGAATGGGTCACTTCCAAGTACATTTTCATCTATGGAATCACTCAGGGTTCTGGCTCTCTCAGGAAATGGCTTATCTGGGGACATTCCTGATCTTCACAACTTGACTAATCTTCAAGTTCTTGATTTAGATAACAACCACTTTGGGCCACGTTTTCCTAACTTATCCACCAGATTGGTCTCCCTAAACTTCAGCAGGAACAAATTTGCACTTGCCATTCCTGAGAAGCTAAGATCCTTTTATCAGCTCCAGAAGTTTGATGTTTCACTGAATGGATTTGTGGGACCCTTTTTTCCACCGCTGATGTCTCTTCCTTCAATGAGGTATCTTGACATTAGTGGGAACAAGTTCACAGGAGTGCTCTTGCAGAACATGTCCTGTAGTCCTGAACTTGCATTTGTGAACATCTCTTACAACCTCTTGACAGGAGACTTGCCAACTTGCCTCAAATCTGAGTTTAAGGTTGTTCTTTATTCCAAGAACTGCCTGAAAAATGAAGATCAGGAGCAACGCCCATTGGTTTTCTGCCACAATGAGGCTCTGGCAGTTGATGTTTTGCCTCCACAGCAGAAGCGTGAGAAAAGAAAAGGTAAAGCTAAAGCAGCTCATGTGTTTGGTGTAGTTGGAGGAGTTGTTGGAGCAGTCACAGCTATGGCACTGCTATTTTTCTTGGCTTTTATGAGGCTACAACGAAGAAGTGAAGTTAAGCCGCCTACGGCGCGATTGATAACAGAGAAGGCGTCGACCATATGTAATGTGAAGCTGCTTTCTGATGCAAGTAAGATCCTTGTTTACCAATTTTGGTTCCAATTATTACCGGCTATTATAGACTAAGAATCCATGTTGTGACTTGTGAGGATAAGACCGAAAATAAATTAGGAATACTTTTCAGGTGAAGTTCAAATGTTCTTTTAAATAGATTTACCATGCACTCAGTTCCATGTTATTAAAACTGCAGTCCAAGTAATAGATAAAGTTTTGGCAATTTTGCAGTCAATTCTTGAATGCGCTATTCATTTTTGGTTTTCAAAAGCTGAGCCATTCAAAATTTGTCTCTGTTTTATTCCAATACTAACTTCTACTGCCTTCAGGATACATATCGCAGACAATGAAAATGGGAACCAGCATTCCAGCCTACCGGACATTTGCTTTGGAGGAGCTCAAGAATGCTACGAATAACTTCAATAATTCATGTTTATTGAAAGACGGTTCCCATTGTCAGGTAACATTTTCTTGAACAGGATTAATCATAACCATCTTGTTTCTATATCCTAGTCATTTTCGTTATATACTACGTGCCATCTGACAATTTTTGCCTGCATAGTCTCGAGCTCTTAATGAATTTAGCAAGTTTGACATGCAATCATTGTAAATTGATAGTGCTGGATTGCACAGAATAGAAAAGTTGCCATTATATCTCCCCAAGAACACGCAGTTCAAAGGAAAACATAGTTAGATTCATTTACAGGAAATATTCTTCTGAGAGCCGATGAGCATACACATGCACTATCTGGAACAAGTCAAATTTATTATTATTATCTTTACTATGGAGAAGTTTCTGCAGACGACAGTGGAACTGAAATTGCGGCGTGCATACTATCATTAAATACTGTTGGGATTATGACTTCCTTTCTTTCTTTTAATCATGTTCTCAGATATACAAAGGTAGGGTAGCAGACGGCACTCTTTTCGCTGTCAGAAGCATCAAAATGGCAAAAAGGCACAGTCCTCAGTACTATATGCCCATCATCGAGAGGATCTCTAAGCTCAGACATGAAAATTTGCTTAGTGCTCTTGGACACTGCTTCGAGTGCTACCCCGATGATTCCAGTGTCTGCAGAATCTACCTTCTGTTTGAATTTGCTGTGAATGGGACGCTCAGAGACCAAATTTCTGGTAAAGTGATTTCCTAAAATCATCCTTACAAAATCATTTCGTACAGTGTGATTAGTTTAGAGTAGTGAAAGTTTGTAAATAGCAAATAAAATGCCCACCTTCATTAAATTATGGTAGTCATCTTAATATCTTGTTGCATGTTATTCAATTACCATCAAACTTGATTCTCCAGAGCTCCTTCTAGGACATGTTTGGCGGATATAGCGCACTAATCACTTGTTTTTGCTACTAAGAATTAGAAGTCTAGGACTAAAAGACTACTTTTACTTGGAGAACGAGCTTTTCCTTCTCGCATCTTCAACAAAGTAATATATTCATCTCTTCCCTCAGGAGGACATTCAAGGACAACATTTTCTTGGACTCAGAGAATTGTAGCTGCTATGGAGATCGTGAAGGGTATTCAGTTTCTGCATACGGGAATCGTGCCCGGCGTGCACTCCAATAACATGAAGATTACAGATGTTCAGTTGGATCACGATCTTCACATTAAGCTCAGCAAATATAATCTACCCCTCTTATCAGAAGATTGTGGAACGGTGGGTAATTATAACAATAATAAAGACATGCATATTAATAGTGTGCTTGGCGGTGGATACTGAACATTTCTTTGCCACAACTTTCCTTCAGGCAAGTTCTCGTGTTCCCAGAGCCAAAGGAAGTAACCACACGAGGTATAGCATGAATTTGTCATCGGAGTGATTCCCCTAATTCCTTCCCTTCAGCTTATCTTCTCCTTTCGAATCTGAGAAATAGTAAAGAAAGCCATTATCTTGATGCAACAGCATGTTCTAGTTCATCTGTTCTGGTCAGCTATCCGCAACATAGTGGCCTCTTCAACATCACCTTCGATTTTCTTGAAGACATTCATGTGCACTTTGTAATGTTGTCTCACTCATCCAGGCGTTTCGTGTCTGAGAATCTGACCTAGAATTCTTCATTTATGCAGGGGAAAAGATAATGAAAAGAGTGATATCTATGAAATAGGAGTAATTTTGCTAGAACTCATAGCGGGAAGGCCATTCACGTCCAATGATGAAGTTCGTCTTTTGAAAGATCTTGTAAGTACTTTTCTTTTTCAGCTTCATCGCGGTCCTTAGAAACAGATATCACAAGTGGAGGATGTCATCGTAACTTGGGCAAGTGACACAAAGGATGCAATTTAATAAGCCACAAAAAAGCAGCAATTGTCACTCCTAGTCAAATATCACAAAACTTCTACCACTTTGTTCTGTTGCAGGTACAAGTAAGCTTGTCAGCTGACGATGGGGCGCGAAGGAGCATAGTCGATCACACTTTGCAAAAGGACTGTTCAGATAAATCACTCAGAATAATGATGGATATTTGCATTAGGTGCTTGTCGGAGGAGCAAAGTAATAGGCCATCAGTTGAGGATGTGCTTTGGAACTTGCAGTTCGCAACACAGGTTCAAGATTCGTCGAGGCATGATTTCCAATTTGAGCAAGAACTCACGGTGCCATCATCACTGGAATTGTAAAATGTCGACTTCATGTGCATTTTCCACATCAAAAATTGCAAATGCAGGATGAACCTTCTTTATTTCCTGCCACTTGAGGTACATAAAAGCAATCAGGAAGTTGTTTTTTGAAGGCCCAAGCGAGTTCTCGAGAGAGAATTTCGCGTTGGTGCTTGACACGGTTTATATTCTTTGTTCCATGTTGATGAATTGTATTACTGACATGAATTTAGCTTGCTCCTGGCCATTCTGGTATCAAACATCCTCGTTCAAAGAGCTTGGCTGAAGCAGTACAAGTGCCTGGAATCTGGTATTGACGTTTGTTATAGTTATACGCCTACTAAGGTCCATAAAATAGAGATTGGTATGTTTATTCAGAATTTCACGGGTTTCGGTCGAGTGAAGAGACTCGAGGGAGGAGAGTACCATGAAGTCCCGATACGAATCTTGACCCATAAAACATTTTACAGGAAACCATAGATTAATACAGGGAAATGGTCGGTATTCGAAATTCAGACACAAATTATGACTGTGAGTATGCCAAATTTCCTGTTATTTGCAGGTCTTATGAGGTCGAAAGTTTTCTTTTCATTAGCTTCCTGAATCCATAAAACATCATTTTTCCACAATCCTTAACAATGGATCTGAACGATCCAATCTTATCGACGATCTTTTTCCTCCTTTCATGGAAGATATGATTATTTGTATTCGGATAAAGTGCAAAAATTTGACTTTCTCTACCTTTTGGCCAAGACCAAAGTGAACGAAGTATGAAAACAACCCAACATTTCCTATCGATGGGTTTGTTGCCAAGTTGAACATCAAAGAATCCATAGTAAAGTGCCTAAGGTTACCTTTGATAGTCGGGATAAAATTCAGAATATGATAAAATATATCGTATCCCGTGTCGGGAAAAAGATGGATATAATATGAATAAAGATATTCCATGGGAGTGATGAGATAAAGGTGGATGGGATTTTCTATATACATGGTATAAAAAGCTATTTTTCTTGAATAACAAATTTCTTAAATTAATGAAATTAAACAATTTTTAAAAGTAAATAATATTTGAATTCTAACATAAAAAAGAAAATTCTAAATAAAAAAATAACAACAATTTTTGTTTCCATTTATTCCTATTTTTATTTATATATTTGATTTGAATATATCTAGTATTTATTTTATTACATATTTTAGGTATATTAGGATGGTTTATTATTTAATAAATTTTATTAAGAAATGATGGAAGGGAATAAAGAAGAAAATAAAAAAGAGGGGGAAATAACACAAAAAAATAAGAATTAAAATGAAGTAGGAGAGAGAGTTGAAGTAATACGCTTTTTGAAATCGCAAAAGCAAATGATCATATTTTCTCTCTTTTACTAGATTTGACATTCATTCAATAATTTACCTCATTGATATTGTTGTAGCTTGTTTACATTCTTCTTGTCATAGCCGAACTTAAGACTTTGGAATACCGAGCTCTTGCGATTAACCGAACAGTCGATATGATATAGTAAAATTATTAGATTTTAAATCTTACCTTATACACTCCTATTAATCCTATTATGGTTAGAAATCCAGAGGATCGAATGCTGCCTAAATAGATTTACAAATTTATGGAAACAAAGAACCCAAAACATAGAAAGTGGCTACCTAATCCTCTCGACAACATATACTCCATTTGGCAATTGGCTCCAGCTTCCTTTGCATTTTTTTTTCCCCTATATAAAGAGTACCATAGTGCCCTTCCTTCAACCCGAATTATAGAACCAACAGAACCCCCAGGAGAAAACAGAGAGCAAATGAGAAGCAAAACGTCGAATCGCCAATTGGCTCCTGAAGTTGTGTTCTTCTTGGTCATCATGTTCATGACTTCGATCCCAGTGAACTCAACAACATGTCAGGAGGCCTTGGGACATGCAGCTCCCTGTATAAAATATGCTTTGGGCGCAGCTCCGCTTCCACCGAGTCCCGAGTGTTGCAAGGGTGTGGACGCCTTGGCGGACATCATGGCGTTTGTCAACGATGGACCCAAGATTCTGTGCCGATGTTACCACGAGATTCCGCCTTCTGTAGGGGTCAAGTCTGAGCTTGCCAAAAAGGTCACTCTGGATTGCGGATATCAATTCGACACCCCAACTGAACCTGGTGCTGATTGCAACAGGTGAAACCTCCTTCACCGCTACTTAGCAACAAGTTTTCTCTATATGAGACCATACGATATCCCGAGATTCGTCTGCACAAAATTCCCGGTTTGTGCATCGTCTCCTTTGTGCACATATGGAATGATCTAACTCTGAAATTCACTCCATTGAAGCAACAAACAACTCCTATACTTCAGTTGTCATTGACAATAGGACCGTCTATCTTGTCCTCCTTTCTAGCATGTATTAATTTGGCAATGACACGAATGCTCTATTAGCTATTCGTGTCATTCTTTTAAGAATAAGAACCGGAACAGAAGTTGTTCTCTGGCAAACTCTAGGGAGCGATACGAGGCTTATGATTGTATGTACCTAATCGACTACCGAGCATTTTCGGAGAAGCCTATATATGAGGACTGTGTCATCACTAGTAAAATGCATGTTTTCCATAACAGTCGTACACATTTGCAGATGCAGACACGTTATGTATTATATTCTGTGATTCGATGCTTGCCCATTCTTTAGTTATGGAAGACCTTCAATTCATGTATTCTTGGTATGATAATGGATCTATTGATGCTTGGATATACACTCATTTTTCCTTCGTTTTTTTGATGGAAGCATTTGGGGGATCAAATCTTCAAATGGGACATGATTTCCAAGTCAAGACGTTTGAGGAGACGGCAGAGCTTGACACATTGCCAATGTCTTTAGTACATTTTCATGTAATAATCGAACAAGCAATGTGAATGAAGGGTTCGAAAATTTCTTACTTTTTTGGCTGTGTGTTTTGTTTCTGATAATTAATCTGCAATCTCACCGCGGCAAATTTTATCAGCGGATTTCTCCTTGTTAAAGGAACACAAACCAGATATCAGATACTCGTTTGGGTGAGTGGCATGCATGAGCGACCACATCAAAATGGGAAGCTTATAAAACAGAAAGGGATAGGTGTATCGGTCTTAGAACTTATTACGAAAGTGCAATCTAGAGTCATAAAACTTTCGGAATGTGCAATCGAGTCCAATCAAATCATTCCATTAATTCCATCTAATTTGACTAATGGAAAATGATGACGTAGTTTTTTTATTACTTTCTCAGGACACGTGGCACTGATGTGCGCCTACTCTTTGCCAAATCAGAAAAAAAAATTAAAATTTAAAATGAAAAAAGATGACAAGATATAATATATATATATATTTTTTAAAAAAAGCAAGAAGAAGAGGAAGTCAGGATTTCTAGCCGCATGCATGCTTATCTTTGAATTCAAGCCGCATTCTTCCCTCCCTCTTTCAGTCCTTATTACTTGACCGCATATTTGGAGTGTTTGAAGAAGTTGGCGGAGGATTCCGAAGAGAAGCTCGCGATCGACGTCTCCAAAACCAAAATCGATGGCTCTGATATGGACATCGAATCTGGAGAGCGAAAGCCGGAGCTCGAAAAAAGAAGACGAAGGAGTCGGAATCGAATTTGCTAAGCAAGGGCCGAAACACCGCCGTCGACCGAGACTCGCGGGCCCCTGTTTTCACGCTCTTCTGGGCTTTGCGTCCTTCGCCAACAATCCAAATCTCCTGCTGCCATGGTCACGATCTCCTCGACGAACCTCGACAACCATGGCTAAAGAGAAATTCAAGCGTTGTACTGAACAAAGACGCCTCCATCCAGTTCTCCAAGTGCAAATGACACGATTTGAAGTGCTTTATGTGTTGATCTTGGCGATGGAGATTGATTACGTGCTTGTTTGGCTTGGATTTGAGGTCAGAGATTGTTCATGGGGGGCTCAAACCGTGGATGTGATTATTAAGGGCAAAAGGACATTATAAGTGTCATAACTTGTGTACGGCGCTCACTTTAGTGTCAAAAGTTTTCGCCGGATCACTTAAGTGCCAAAAGTTTTTTTTGGATCACTTAAGTGCTAAAATTTTTGAAAAACGATCACTTAAGTGCTAAATTTTTTGAAAAACGATCACTTAAGTACCAATCTTCGGCGAGCCACGTCAGTTTCAGAAATTAATTTAAAAATGCCACGTCGGATTTCCGGGGAAAAATTGTGTACGGCACCGGAGTTAGCACTTAAGTGATCGTTTTTCAAAAATTTTAGCACTAAAGTGATTAAAAAAAAAACTTATGGCACCAAAGTGAGCGCCGTACACAAGTTATGGCACTTGTAGTGTTCTTTTGTCGATTATTAAGCTTGAGCCCAAACTGCGGTTGACCATTGGCAGGCTTTGTGAGGTCCTCACGAACCTTGTCCGTGCCACGTAAGTATTTTTTGTTAGCCAAATTAGATGGAGTTAAACGGAGGGCTATTGCATCAATTTGACAATTTTTAAAACTTATTTCTACTTTTTTAAAGTTTTAGACCTCAATTACCTGTCCGCAACAAGTTAGCTTTCTGCAAAGACCACCTCAACTCCTTCGCTGGAATCTCCCGACTCTCTCTCTCTCTCTTGTTTGAAGAGCTTTTTGTCTACCTCTGGGTAGCTTCCTTTGGTTACAAACCCTTACTAAACCCTTGCCTCTTCTCTCTACAATGATGAAGCAATCAGTGTGCCCTATTCCTTTTGGGTAATCAATGAGGTATCTTGACATTAGTGGGAACAAGTTCACAGGAATGCTCTTGCAGAACATGTGCTGTAGTCCTGAACTTGCATTTGTGAACATCTCTTACAACCTCTGGACAGGAGACTTGCCAACTTGCCTCAAATCTGAGTTTAAGGTTGTTCTTTATTCCACGAACTGCCCGAAAAATGATGATCAGGAGCAACGCCCGTTGGTTTCCCGCCACAATGAGGCTCTGGCGGTTGATGTTTTCTGAGTTTAAGGTTGTGTCCCTTTAGCCGATCGAGCACACTCCTTCGTAACTGTCTTCGTTTTCATTATTAGGAATTGGAACTCGTTCGAGCACAATTTTCTCTCATAATCTTCTCGCCTTTGATTTTTTTCTCTTTTCCGTGCTTGTATGGATAACTCATTCGAAGCACCAAATTAGGATGTCCAATGGCTTCAATTGGAAGTGGTTGGAAGAGAAGCGTGTCATCTTGCAACTCTATCAACGAAGTTCGTCGGAAGACAATCTAGGGCTTTTCGTGCTTTGAGGGAGACAGAGAATGAGCCCAAACTGTTTTCAAATTAGGTCTTCGAAGAAACAAAGAGAGTTATGGATTTCCACGTGGAGTTACCATGTCAACTAAGTTATTATCATGTGTCATTCAACGTAGTAATTGCACTGTAAAATTTAACTAAAACTAATGATGGTAAATGTGTCACGCGTGTACTAGTTTGGGGTTTTTGGCAACCCAAAAATTAATTCAGGGTAAATTTATCACAGGTGTACCAGTTTGGGATTTTTGGTGATTCTAAAATTAGTTCGAGGTAAATTTATCACAATTGTACTAGTTTAGAGTTTTTCATAGTATTAACCCACTAAAAAAAGACATGGAAAATAAGCAAATAAAAGTTGAGTATGCGAGAGAGTTGAAGTAATATAATTTTCAGAATTGGAGGTGAATGGTCATTTTTTCTTTCTCTTTCTAGGTTCAGCATGCATTGACTAATCTAGCTCATTGATGTTGCTGTAGCTCGTTTATATTTCTTGTCGAACCTACAAGAATACTGAGCTCATTTGCTGTTTGAGATTTTGATCGTGCAATAATCATGAATTTATTGATTGGGGTTATCTTGATTTATGCATTTGCCTTTAGTAGTGGATCGCGAGAGATTCTTACTATTTTCGTTAAAGCAATTTCATATTCATTTACACTAATATGCCGTTTATACCAAACAATGAACATGATAGGATATGAAGATATCCAACTTTATTATTTCGATTCACCAAGCAAAATTCCTGAATTGTGTATCTTATCGCATGTAGTCATATTCTAGTTAGAAATCGAGACGACCAAACGCATTCTAATAGATTTACAAATTATGGAAACAAAGAACCCAAAGCAATCAAGGTATATTGATTCCTATATGTCCACCTGATCCTCTCGACAACATTTACTCCTCTTGGCAATTGGCTCCAGCTCTCTTTGCATTTTCTTCCCCTATATATTGAGCACAACAATGCCCTTGCTTCAACCTGAATTATAGAACCAACAGAACCCCCAAGAGAAAACAGAGAGAAAATGGGAAGCAAAACGTCGATTCGCCAATTGGCTCCTAAAGTTGTGTTCTTCTTGATCATCATGTTCATGAGTTCGATCCCAGTGAACTCAATAACATGTCAGGATGCCTTGCCACCTTTACTTCCATGTTTATCATTTGCTACGGGCGCAGTTCCGCCTCCACCGAGTGCCAACTGTTGTTCGGGTGCGCAAACCTTGGCGAGCAAGGTGACTACCACCGAAGATCGCCGGACTCTGTGCAAATGTTACCAGAGCATTCCGCCTTCCATAGGGATCAAGCCTGACAGAATCCAAGCGATCCCTCAGTATTGCAAGGTTAACGTCACCATCCCAACAGACCCTCACGCTGATTGCAACAGGTGAAACCTCTTTTATCTCTATATGGTAACTCTTGACTGCCTCCATCAATTTCAAATAGGGAAATTCGATTGTGCAGAGACACTCGGCCGACATAGATTCATGTTATCTAGCCGCTAGTTTTCTCTATGTGAGACGATATATGATATGATCAGACTACTGAGCATTTTCAGAGAAGCCGGGTCATCAGTAGTAGAATGCGTGTTTTCCATAAAAGTCATAGTAGTGGCTTCATGCTCGTCCATTCTTTAGTTATGAAATAACTTCAATTCATTATGTATATGAACTGTGATCTTGGTATGATAATCGATCAAGTGATGCTTGCATAGATTCTCATTTTTCCTTTCTTTGGTTCTGTGATGGAAGCATTCCGTGAAGGACGAAATCTTCAGATGGGTCCTGATTTTCAAGTCCGGACGTTTGAGGAGACACAGAGTTTGACACATTGCCGCTGTCTTTACATTTTCATGTAACAATCGAATAAGCAATGTCAATAAAGAGTTCGTAACTTTCTTACTTCTTTCGGCGTTGTATTTCGTTTCCGATGTTTAATCTGCTACCTCATACGGCAAATTTCATCAGAGGACTTCTCCTTGCTAAAGGGACACAAACCAGATGTCAGACCGGACACTTTAGTTCGAAACGCACGCTGTTCGGGCGAGCAACATTGAGATGATTTCTTTGCAATATGCATCAGTGAAATCGTTAAAACGAGAAGCTTATAAAACAAAAACAATACATATTCCAACTTATACGATTTAAATACAAACCCCGCTATCTAAGCTTAGTCTATTAGAGACAATTTGAATTAATCTACGCCTTTGTTAGATGTTGATTATTCGTATCACTCAAGATTGCACGCACATTGCACGTATGTCTCTCTTTGATTGTACACATCTTGATTGAGATATTATTTTACAATAATTGTCTAATAAAGCCTATAAATAAGCTGATAATATTTCGATGATAGTGCGATAATATTTCTCAATATCAACTCAGCTTGCTGCGCCAAATTCGGACACAAATTTTGATTGAGTATGCCAAGGCTGCGAATGACAATCATTCTGTTTCAGAAATCAATTTCTGGCAAGAAATTGACTTTTCTATTTCTGTTTCTAGAGGAGTTTCTGAGCAAAAAAATACGTTCGATAACGACACAAAATTTCTGTTCCAAAAATAGAAATTTGTTTGATAACGACATAAAATTTCTTCCTCTCAAATGACCGGTGAGTGGACGGTGGCGGGAGGCGGCGGTGGGAGGAGGGCTGCCGACGGCAGGAGACGGTGGCCGGTGGTTGGCGGGTAGCAGCTCACGGTGGCCGGCGATGGGAGGTGGGCGACGGCCGGAGGAGGGCGGCCGGAGGCGGGAGCGGTGGCCGGTTGGACGGCGGCCGGTGGCCCACAGTAGCTGGCGGTGGGAGGTGGGCGGCGGGCTGCAGCGGGAGGAGGGAGATCGGCGGCGGGAGACGGTGGTCGGCAGTGGGAGGCGGGTGGCAGAGGGAGGAGGGCAGCCGGTGGCGGGAGACAGTGGCCGGTGGACGGCGGGTGGCGGCCCATGGTGGCCGGCGGTGGGATGCGTGCGACAGGAGACGATGGCCAGCGGTGGGAGGCAAGCGACAGGGGGATTCGGGCGGCGGTGGGAGGAGGGCGGCCGGCGGCGGCGGGAGGAGGGCGGCCGGCGGTGGTGGGAGGTGTGCGGCGGCCGTCGGCGGGTGGCAACAGGCAGCGGTCGCCAGCAAGTGAGTGGCGGATGGGCGACCGACTAGTAGCGAGGGCGAACGATGAGAAAAATTTTAACTTCTCATTTCTGTTCCAGAAATAGATAAGCAAAAAATTTTAACTTCTAATTTTTGTTTCAAATCTATTTCTGGAACAAATTTTTGTTCCAGAAATAGAAATTAAAATTGCGTTACCAAACGGATTTCTATTCCAAACCTATTTCTGAAACAAAAATAGAAAAACAGAATGATTATCATTCGCAGCCCAAATTTCCCGTTATTTGCATATCTTATCAAGTCCAAAGCTTTCCTTTCATTAGCTTCCCGAATTCATAAAATATCATTTTTCTCAATCCTCAATAGTGATTCTGAACGATCCAATCCTGTGGACTTTCTTTTTCCTTTCAAGGAAGATATGAGCATTTGTATCTGGATAAAGTGTCAAAGATTATTACTTTCTTGGCCTTTTGGCTAAGAACAAAGTGGACCAAGCATGGAAACAACCCAACATGTCCTATTGATGAGTGTATCAAACAAGCCATCACAAAGATTTACAAGTTATGGAAACAAATCCTCTCGACAACTACCAAGTTATATTGATTTTTTTTTTTTTGGCCAGAAAGTTATATTGATTACTATAACAGAAAAAATTGTTAATTTGTAGTTGGCTCCAGCTTTCTTTTGCACTTTTTTCCCTATGTATATAGCGCACAACAATGCCCTTCCTTCAACACTAATTACAGAACCAACAGAACCCCTGAGAGAAAACAGAGAGAAAATGGGAAGCGAAAGGTCGAATCGCAGATTGGCTCCTAAAGTTCTGTTCTTCTTGGTCATCATGTTCTTGAGTTCGAACCCAGTGAGCTCACTAACATGTCAGGAGGTCCTGAAAGTTGTGTTTCCCTGTTTATCATTTGCTTTGGGCACGATTCCGCCTCCGCCGAGTGCCGAGTGTTGTTCGGGTGCGCAAACCTTGGCGAGCATGGTGACTACCACCGAAGATCGCAGGACCCTGTGCCACTGTTACCAGAACATCCCGCCTGGAATAGGGATCAAGCCCGAGAGAGTCCAAGAGGTCCCTCAGTATTGCAAGGTTAATGTGACCATCCCAACAGACCCTAATGTTGATTGCAACAGGTGAAACCTCTTTATCTCTCTATATGGTAACTCTTGATTGCCTCTTTCACGTTACCTAGCCACAAGTTTTCTCTATATGAAACGACAAGATATGATATCCCAAGATTTGTCTGCACAAAATTCCATGTTTGTGCAGCATCTCCTTCGTGCCCATATGGAATGATCTAACTCTGAAATTTACTCCATTGAAGCAACAAACAACTCCTATACTTCAATTGTCATTTGACAATAGGACCGTCTATCTTGTCCTCATTTCTAGCATGGATTAATTTGGTAAATGAGACAGAATGCTCTCTTAGCTAATCGTATCGTTTTTTTGAAGAATAAGAACCGGAACAGATTCGATGCCCTGTTCTAGACAAAGTTGTCCTTTGGCAAACTCTAGGGAGCGAAATGAGGCTTATGATTGTATGTGCCTGCTCGACTACCGAGCATTTTCGGAGAAGCCTATATAATATATGATGACTGTGTCGTGTGTATGGTATGCTGTGGTTTGATGCTTGTCCATTCTTTTGTTATGGAAGAACTTCATTTCATGGTGTATATGGGCTGTATCCTTGGTATGATAATCGATCGATTGATGCTTGGATATACTCTCATTTTTCCTTTCTTTGGTTCTTTGATGGTAGCATTCCGTGAAGGAGGAAATCTTCATATGGGTCCTGATTTTCAAGTCAAGACGTTTGCGGAGAGCAGATTTTTACACATCGCCAATGTCTTTACATTTTCGTGTGACAATCAAATAAGCAATGTGAACGAAGAGTCCGCAATTTTCTTACTCTTTTTGGCGTTATATTTCATTTCTGATAATTAATCTGCTAACTCATAGAGCAAATTTTATCAGCGGACTACTCCTTACTAAAGGGACACCGACCAGATATTGGGCACTTTAGTTCGAAACGAGCAACGTCGAGATGATTTCTTGGCAATATGCATCGGTGAAATTGTTAAAACAAGAAGCTTATAAAACAAAAACAATACACATTCCAACTCATACGATTTAAATACAAACCCCGCAATCTTACTGTATGCATAGAAGAGAACACGTTTTTTTTTTTTGGGTCGGGCGAAGAGAAGAGAACACGTTTAGTCAATGATTTCTCCCTCTTCTTTATCTGGTAAACCATCTCTCTTCCCATGAAAACTTTTTTCAACATGAGAATGATGAACATCTTCATTCTCATCATCGGTGGATTCATCACCTCCGCCATCAGAATTTCCAGCATGACAATCTTGACAGGCTCCATTGCCTTCGGTTGGGAAAATTTGAGACTTATCTTCTAGCACTTCACTCCCGCACCCGTTCTCATTAACCACTACCTTCGGAAATTTCAGAGATTGCTCAGGCCAATGCTTAAAGAAGGAGTTTGTTACCATAAAATGGAAAACCTGAAACAGGCGGCTGTTGTCTCTCCTTATATCTTTATGTAAGAGCTTCTGCAGGAGTGTTGTCCTGTTCTTGTTTAAAGAAGGGGGATCTGTTGAACTTGTGGCCTCCAATCTCTGCTTCTTGTTGAACCGGTCCCTTCTATTATGGTGTCCTCTTTTGTCACGATTCTTTTGAAACCTATCCTTCTTATTCCATGGCCTACTGTTCTCTTCCGGTGACTCATCTTTCTTCCGCGTGTCCGACAGGTAGTGCGATGGTATTTCAGCAATTTCAACTCCCAATTCAGCTTGCTGCACCAATATCTTCTTGAGTTGCTGCAAACGAAACATGAAAGTACTCAAATGTCTCAATATAAGTTCAGAAGGTAATAATGATGAACTAAATTCATATGAGGATTTAGGTAACATGGATATGCATCAGACGTATAGAAAGGAAACTTTTTTTGAGATAAAAGGCATGGTACGATCAGTTTAGAAATCAACAAATATCACCTGTATATGCTCATACATATTAGGGTGCGGTAAGATCTTTATGCAGATCTTCCTCAAAACTTCAACATCCCTAAATACTTCCCATGCAAAATCTGGAATAGCTAGGGGGTTCCGTGTAACATTTAGATGTGAGATCCACCAAGAGGAAGCAAACTTCGACAAGAAAATGTGTCCATTTGGAAGTTTCTCCAGATTCAGTATACTGTCTTATGGCTTACCTAGATAGTTTTTTTACGTGCTTAACACCTCCACATAAATCAACGTGCAGCAAAGAACATGCCCCCCCAATCGGTTCCAGCAAAAATTTACCAGGCAACAAGGTAAAACACAGTACTCAAAATGTTCAAAAGAAATGGAAAAGAACTAAGAAATTTTCAAAATGCTTTTATTAAATGTTGATCCATTAATAGCTACATAAACTTACAAATTGTAAGGTCACAACGCCCAAGCTCATGTACCAACAACAAAAAAAAGCCATACCTCCTGCCGAATTTTGATATCCAATTCGTTTTTTCTGGAATCTGTCAGTTTCTGCTAGAGGTAAAGTCAACCGTCAGGAGAGTTGTCAAATAGAAGCATGAGCATACTTTAAACTCAAACTAACCTTCTCCATTTTGGCTTTTGAAGGGTAGTTCCTCCTCCGCTCTTCACACCACTGCTGGATTTCTTGTTCTGTATAGGTTATTGAAAGAGCTCTGCCATATAATGTAACAAGCACATCCATATGGTCATAACAGTGAAAAGGCAGAGATAAACAAATCAAACAGAATCTAGATTAACAGGAAGAAAATAAAATCAATGATCTTATGAGTAACAAATAGATTATTAGCATGTACAGCTGGCGCTTTTTCCATCATCATCACACATCATCAGCATGTAAAGCTGACCGACATTTTATTTGTAAGGCAAGATAATTCAGCAGAAAAGAATGGCAATTCCCTGCTACCTGTCATATGCGTGAGAGATCCCTAAAAAGACAGTAAGCAAGAACATGGCAAAGCTAACCATTCCGCCCATTAAAAAATGGAACCAATCTGATGTGAGCATTCAACGATTACCAGAATATGCAATCATAAAATGCATAGATAGTAAAATAGGAATATTTAGTATCAGTCTAAGGTCCGTAATGTGTGAGAGCCATGTAATCACAGAGGCGCTATATTAGAGCCAAGACATCAGTACACTTTTAAAGTACCTCTTCTGTTCCTTAGGTGGATTCGCTGGGTGAAGTTGTCCAAACTTTCCCTCCATATGGCTGCTTATCCCTGCTTTAGGTTTAAGAAGCAACAATGTTAATGCCTGCTGGTGCAGCAGTTCAACATTTGACATCACATTTTGCTTTTTCGCATTGAAAACATTAGCAAACTGCTGTAAGGGATTTCAGTTTAATTTCTTGAAAAACAGAGGAAAGACACAGTAAATCTATAACTGTCGTGATGTTCAGCCATGAAGCTATGCTTGAGACAAACTTGAGTTAACCTCTTTGTCAAGAAACCATAGGAAAAAAGGCCAGAGAGCAGACGTACTTCTTCTTCTGATTCACTATACAAAAAACTTTTCAAACACAATGCACCGTTGGAAAAGGACAGTTCAAAATAATTATACCTTACAATTATTCAAATTCGTTTTTAGAACAAAATACAGAAAATAATTGCACGTGACGTTAAGAATTCTTCTGGATGATTCTAAATCCTACAACATGTCAAATCCATCATTGAGAAATATTGCAGGCCATGAATAGAGAGAATAACAGAAGCTGCAATGTCAATAAAGCATTTCCGATCGCATCACATTTCTGTCACATAAACTATTACTTAAGCTATGAAAGTGGAAGCAAATAATCAGCATTAAAATGTGGAAACACAAACCTTTGCCTCTATGTCCATTAGCAAACTCAAATTTCCTCTTCCTATCGTTCATGTCATGGAATTGAGGCCTATGAGATCTGCAGCAAAATCAGCTAATTCACGGGGGCTAGCCCAAAAACTCATGAAACACATGAATCATATCTCTTCAGTTCACATCCTCAAGAAAGGTGAAAATATATGGTACAGAAACACAGACCCCCTTTGAGAAGCCATCCGGCCTGTCTTCCGACCAAAGTCCTTTCTTGGAGAATTTCTAAAGTTTGGATTTGAAGTCTTGATGCCAACTCTATAATTGGGATTTTCCTGCAATCATCAACCATCAACGCAATTAAAAACAAAACATTGCTAAATAAGTACACAAAAGAATCATTTCAGACAATTGACAAAAGGGCACCAGACATTTGCATGGGAAAAACACATTGTAGGAAAATCACAAGAGTTAGAATATCCGCAGACATATGCCTGCGCAACCAAACATCGACAGCCAAGGATCAGCAGCAAACAATGAAACATAAGGTATCTGGTCAAATAGACATCCAGATGACCCGGGCATTGGACTGCTGTTGGTACACAATGCAGAAAAACAGACAAAAGATGCAAAGATAAAATGTGCAAATGCTAAAAAGGCCTCAGATAGTCCTAGTCTTTGAGTTTAAGGACTTTGTCAACTTTGGTTGACACAAATGATATATCAAGCTTAATTAATTTCATACCAAAAGCATTTCCTTATCATCTAACAAGAAGGTACAAATCTTCAAATAATCAACCCTAGGCAAATGAAGCCACCTGTTGTCCACGGCATACAGGACCTGGCAAGTTCGGAGACCTCTCTGAATGATTTGGATGAACATTATCTGGCATGAGATGGCTTTGCGGCTGTTGCTGACTTGCAGTGGACAATGATCTCAATACATTTGGACCCATGACAGGAGATCTTACGTTTTGCTGATTTTGATTAAGCTGGTGATCACAACCACCTTGTGTATCGGCCAAAGAGAAAGGATTTTGGGGACGTAAGGCCCGAGCTCCTTGATTGGAACCCGGGAAACCATTAAAAGAAGGAAGCTGAGAAGGATTTAACTGTTGCGCGATCGAAAGTTGATTAACATTCGCCATCACATTTGGCAAACATAGGAGCAAATTCTGCAAACCCATGTTTTGATTGAGTTGTTGAGGCAAGTTCTGCGCAAGCATCTGCCCAGGCAGCTGAGACAGATTCACTTGGTTCACATTCGGCGCCATATTCCGAAACTGGCCGAGTTGTTGCGTAGCAATCTGATGATTTTGCAAAGGCAGCAGTTGATTAGGCCCGTTCACGATACCGGAAGCTGCCAAACCAGGCAGAATCATGCTCACAGCTTGCCCATTGTTCATGTAATTCATGAGACCATAACCGGGAATGGAAGACTGAGGAAGAATCCCCATGTGAGACTGAAGCTGCACGGGGGTCGGCAACACATTACAAGGGTTACCGGCAAAAGGGTTCGGCGAAACGACCTGCTACACAATTCAACCAACCAAAGCCACCAGGAAATCAGCTATGATCCTATGTGATCACACAATGCCTGCGCGCCTCCATGCCTTGCGCGCATGAGCTTTGAAAGAAAGGGAAGAAAGAGCAAGTACCTGCTGGGGCACAGCGCCGTTGCTCTGGACTCGGTTGCCCAGATGAGACTGAGACAGCGGATTAAAGCTTGGAAACATCTCTCTCTCTTACTGGCAAGGCGCTCAAAAAGGACGAAAGATCAGAGATAAAACCTTTCCCAGAAAATTCCGAATCGCATCAGGGACGGAGCTCGTCGATCAAATTCGCCTTCCTCCTCCCGTGACAACAAGATGATGAATTTTTAGGGCTTAAGACCGAGAGACGAGCGGAGATTGAGCTTCTCTTTCAGGGTTTTTAGCAAAGAAAGAAGTGATGTGAGGTAAAAGGGTTTTTACCTCGTGCATGTTTGGTTCAGCTTTTGGAGAATGCATTTGGTGCAAAGGCATGTGAGGTAAAAGGGTTTTTTAAAAAGCAAATAATGTTTAATAATGTGTACTTTAAAATCACATTTGAAAGTAACTTTGATCTAAATATCGTTTGGTAAAAATTATTTGTAAAAGACTTTTACTGATATTTAAAAATAAAAAAAAACTAGCCAACCAACCACCACCGCCGGCCAGATCTGATCACCGGCCAACCGCCGACGGCCATATCTGGTTGCCGCCCAGCCTCGCCTAACCTCAGGCGAGGCTGCCTGAGGTCCGGCGACCTCAAGCGGTGTCGCGTGACCTCGGCGGCCCTTGCTTGGGGTCGCGCGACCTCAGGCGGTGGTCGCCTGAGGGTCACGCGACCCCTAGGCAGCGGTTGCCGGTGCCGGACCAGCTGCTTAGGAAGAGGATGAACAGTAGCGATAAACAGTACCCGGTTGCATTCTGAAAATGCAACTTCCCAAGGCTCCTCGTGGATTCTATTCAGCCAAAGGCCCTTGGAGAGCTTTGGAGATGCAATTGCAGGCTGTTTGGTTCAACTTTGAAAATGCTATTTGGGTGAATGCAAATTCCTTTGGGTGAAAGCACATTGGGGAAATGCAAATGGTGTTTGGTAAAAGAAATTTGTAAAGCTACTTTGGCCAAAATATAGTATTTGGTGAATTTTTTTTGCAAATGGACTTTGAGAATTATCTTATTTATTAAAAAAAAAAAAACTAACCTACCCATCACCAGAGCTGGCCGCCGGCGATGGTCTATGACCGCCGGCGAGATAGATCTGGCGCCGGCGGCTGTCGCCCAAGGTCGGGCGACCCCCGGCGAGCCAGATCTGCCATCGTCGGCGGTCGCCCGAGGCCAGGCGACCCTCGGCGGGGGTCGCGCGACCAGGCGGCGACGGCCGCCTAGAGTCGCTTGACCCGGGCTGTCACCGCCTGGAGTTGCGCGACCCAAGCGGCGACGGCCTGGGTCGAGCGACCCCAGCAACGGCATCGCCTGGGCGGTCGCCCAATCCCAGGCGACCTCGCCGGCCCTTCTCCCTCGCCGGCCACCCTCGCCGGCCGTCCTCGCCGACTGCCTGGTGAAGAAGATGAACAACTTCAAATCAAAAAAAAAAAAAAAAAAAAGACGTGAACAGTAGTATTCGTGAAATGTTGAAAGCCCAAGGCTGATCCGGATCAGCGTTAGGCATTCAGCGTTTGGAATGCTAGCATTGGCCAAATGCTAGCATGAAAGCTGAACCAAACACCCCCTTTAAACTCCCAAAGCAGCTTTCAAATACTGAACCAAACATGCCCGAAGAAGAAGCAGCAGCTCCAACTGGACATGGGCCTAGGCCTGAAGATAAAAGACCGGCCTTGAAAGCCAATGGGCCTTCTGCAGTTGAGAGGCAAAGCCGACTTGGAACGGTACAGCGCCTATCGTGCTTCCTTTCATGGTTACTGCATCTTCTTCACCATCGTCTTCGCGATCGGGGAGAGAAATCGATAGCGGGAGCGCCGGAGAACGAATGGAAGATTTCGAGAAGAAGGTGTCCATAACAGACCCAATGGACTCTGAACCCGAGACCACCACCCCCGCCGCCGCCGCCGCCGCTTCCTCTCAAGTCCTCCACTTGCTCCGCCGATTCCTCGCCGTGCAGCAGCGCAGAGCCGAAGCTTATGCCAAACTCAAAAGGTACTCCCTCTCCCTCTCTCCCTCTCTCTCTTCTCTCGTTGTCCTTCTCATTTGGCTCTGCGAGGGGCTGAGGAACCTAGGCGCGATTTCGATTTCGATTTCGATATCGATTGCTGCGGATTTGTGCGTTTATCTCGGATTGAATGATGGGTTCGATTGATGTTTTGCTGTGGAAGTGGAAATGCCGAAACTTGATGTTCATTTTCTTCCTTGTCTGGTCGCACGAGCAATTTCTCCAGCCATTTTGATTCAGCTTCGTGTGAATCTTTTTCTCTCTTTTGAGATGCAGAGGTTTCGCGGAGTACCTGGTTTCGGGCGGGGAGGTGGCGTACCAACAACTATGCGGCGAGATCACCGCGGAGTTCAACGATTGCTCTAAACAAGTCAGGGTTCATGATAGCTTTTCGAGCGAGTAGTATAAGAAATGATCTTTTTTTTTTTTGTGGCAGTTCATGTAGCCATGAGGTTTTCGTTTTTTCGTGATGGTGCAGGTTATCGAAATGGAGTCCTTATTCATGGCTCCAGATCACTGCCGGGTCGATTTAGCTCAGATGCTGAGGGTGGTCCAAGCGCAGGAAAAGCAGAAATTGCATCTGGTACGGTCGTCTATGTATTCGTTTGCGATGCTTTCTCTTGTTCCTAAGGAAAGTCTGCGTCTTTAATGAGGGGATACTTTCCATGTCTCGGTGTCCTGCGTGTTCTTTTGGATGACAGAAGCATGGCAAGTAATCTGTTCTAGAGTGGCACATTCTAAAGCAGGGGTTTACATAGATAAGCCGATCGTAATTGAGAGAGAAGTGAGACTGTAGTGGTAGGTTAATAGCAAGATCATTGACTGAACAATGAGATGGGGTGCTATAATACTGCATGATTATTTAGGAAGACACACTGCTTGAGGCGGCATTTGGCATGTTGGGCGGTGAGCCAGAGTAGACTAGCAATTTCTGTTACTCTCTGTATTGGTTTCAGTGCTTAAATTGAAGATGATAAATTGGCCTTGTCTATGCTATCCTTTAAAGAGAGAAGAGGGGGGAAGCTAAGTATCATTACTATAGCAAAAGAAACTTTAAGCACTAAAACATTGTTAATATTATTTTCTCACCCTATTCTTACATCCTAGTGGATCGATCTGGTTTTTTTTACCTCTTTGTGATACTCTTTTTCTACCCCCTGTAAATTCCGTGGTGTAATAGTTGCCTTTCTGGATTTTGCCTCCATTGACCTTATTTCTGTTATTGAAATTTGAAGACTGCTACCATTCAAGTGCTTAAGAAAGCTGGTCGCCCTTCAGAACGTCTTGTAAGCCATGAGAACTGCACATTCAAGAAGCCAATGCAACATGAATGCATGCATCTTCATGAGATAACGGAGGCTGAAGGAACAGAAGAGGCTGAGGCAGATGCCGAGTATGAAAATGCTCTTAATGAAGCCATCAGAGGCGTGCAGGATGCTGTGACAACCATAAACGAACATCTGGAAGAAGTCAGGTATGAAATTGAGGCACTAGAAGCCCAGTAAGTTGGCGAATTTAGCTACCTACATGTGGCATTGCGAGCAAGACTACTATATACTTTTTAATGGTGTATAGTTAATGCTTTTGCGCGGGAATGTAGCTGCTTCACTGACTCCATGTACATCCACAAGTACTCTCTTTTTGCCTTTTTTCTCTATGGATAACTTTGTATCTAATTATCCAAGAGGTGTAATGACAAAGGGGTTTTTTGGCTAATTGGTCAACTTCTTTTAGGGGTATAAAGATGAAGCTTTATTGAATCTCTGATAATATATGTTGCACCAAAAAGATTATTAGACTCTCATCCTCTTTCCTGGCTCTTTTTTTTATCCCTCCTATGTTTTCTGGTTCTAGCTGTCTTCTTTTTTCGCCCTTTTTTGGCTTAAATCTGGTTCTAGCTCATTAGTGGTAATGTTGGGTAAGGTAGTGTTCTGCCTGCTAAAACTCAAGCAAGAGGTTTGATTCACTCTTCTCCATGTCCAATCTGGTTCTCTTCTAGCTAAAGAGAAGTGAGGTGTAAGTGTACTCTTCCTGGGTTGCATGCAGCTTTTCAGAGTCTTTTCTACACGAGCAAAACGTTGATATTGCAAGTATTGACGTTGTTGATTGGAACTAGAGATTGTAAAATCGGCTACTCAGGCCGAGCTGTTGATTACTCCTTTGCTCAACTGATCAATATGGTTTTCCATAGATGCAGTGAATAAAAAGGTGTCCATCACTCTTAATCTCGAGTAAAAGGAAAATCAACAAGAAACAGAGTCTTTAGAGAAGTCCACCATGTGGACTCTCCTAGGTGTTACATGTGCAATGTCTTGTTTTCCAACTAATCCAAGGGCAGGAGGTTTTACAGAAAAGCACTAATTTCACGCACTTAATGAAAAGTGAAGGTGGCACACTTTATGCATCATCTCTTATTCTAAGAATGACTTGATCATTTTAACTAAAATTTACTTAAATTGCAAGATTCATATTTTAATAATCGGTAGCTCAGTTAATTTCCCATGGTTATGAAGCTAACTCTTGGATGATTGTTATAGTTTATGAAATAGAAGGGTCATTTCGTCCACGAATTTGAACCGGTTTTTACACTTTGGTGCGTTTGAAATCGACAGGTCAGTCCATTCATGGATTTGGAATCCGTTTTTAACGTCATGAACACTTAGAACGTTCACATTTCTCGAACATCAATCGTGTGCTCATCGTGATTTGTAGTTTTTTCTTTCCCCGACTTTTTCAGACTGGCAACGTTTCTATCTTTTAACACTTTCATGGCGATGATCATGTTTTGAAGGCATACATCATTGCAGACCTTTTGCTTTTCCTCACGCAATCTGATTTTTCAAGTCGAGCCGCCACTGGGGGGAAATAAAATCCCATTACATGCACACGTTCTGATTGCCAAAATAGAATGATCAAGGCATCAATCAGAACACACTATTGCATTTGGAAGGATTCGTTTACCTTAAGATAATTCAAGCTTCTCCTTACTAGAGAATTTACAAGACTGAATCTAACGAAGGATGCATCACCTACACAGCCCAATAAGGGAAAATTACAATCGTAAAATTCCCCTTATACAAAATCGTTACGAGGGAAGACCACAAATTGCACACACTACACGCTCCTCCAATCGATTCAACCGGGGCTACTTGGTTGTCTAGATGTCAGGTGTTTGAGCATGTCGTGCAGAGCGAAACAACTGCTCGCACATCCTCCTTAGTCCCACCAAAATTTTCTCTTCCCCAGACAAATGTAGTTAGACACATTGTTTCTTCAAATATCTTCTGTTCCGGCATTTCATGTTGAATTTTCATCAATCATCCCTGAACTGCTTCCAGCACTTCTGCCTCGAGCTCAGGATCCGTCGCTGAAATTAACGAGGCTGACTGAATCTTTCCAGCATGTTCCAGTCGCATCAATATCACACCCCTGGATTTATGTACAAATGGAAGGAGTATTTCATCCCACAGAACCAAAAGATAAACTAGGAAAAACCAAAGCAGAAGTTCATCAACCAACGATACAAAAACGAACTGTGGGATCAAAGAATTTTGGGGAACCACAGGCCTCCTTTGTCTCTATTTCTACTCTGACAAGAATAGCACCAAATGCTAATCGGATGTCCACATTTCCTTTGAGGTTACATTTTGCCTATCAATACATTCTGAGAAAATAATAAAAATGTCTTCCCCTTAAGCTGTATTAGTAACAAGATCCAATTAATAATACCATCTCTAAGGACCGGGAGAGCAACTTGATTAATGTATAATCCACGACACCACATAGCACATGCAGGTAATCAACCAACTTCGAGGCTACTTGAGCTGTACTTTGAATATGAGTCTAGTTTTACTTTCAAAGAAAAATAATATGAATCTAAATTCAGGAGCAGCAAAGAATCATTCAGACGATCAAAGATTTCTTTCTTTTTGCTCATTAAGCTGAACCTCAAAAGCAAAGATAAGCACCAGAAACGTATTTATTCAAAGCTTACCTTGCATAGCGAGATTGTATGGAGATATCCCGAACCTTAATTCTATTTACAGTACCACTTTGGCTTACTAGAACGACTTGTTCGTCACTTTCACCATCTTCTGTTCAATGGAGAAAAGAGAGGCATGCAGAAAGTGTTACAATGAAGAAGATGAAATAGAGCGACAGTATGAAGAAAACCTAAGCCAATCAATTCATAATGGAAAAGATGCTTCAGGGAACTCTCATGAATTACCAGCCAATGAAAAACCGACTACAAAAACAGCAGCCAGGCGGTCTTCTGAGGAAAACTGAAAGCAAGTAGCAGCATAAGTGATCCCCAAAATACATCCAAAGTTGCATGGCAACTACAAGCAGACAAACAAGAAATTGGAAGTCCCTTGCACACCTTATATCCAATTAGACCCACTCTGTTGAGACGCGATGTGCGAAAGCTACCTAATGGGACCCGCTTTCCATAGCCACCCTCAGATACAAACAGCAGCCACGGACCACTGGGGGCTTTAGCACTGAAAATAAGAAAAGTCAGCCATCTTTATCTAAAGGATACTAGAAATTGGCACTTGCTATTAATGGTGCTGAGGCACTATCGGCTAACTGAAAATGACACGCTAAATCTCCTCTCACACTGTACAAAAAAGAATCTTGTGGTATAAAATTATTCAGTATATGAGAAATGTAAATGTATGCATACCTACTCAAGTATGATAAGCATGCATGCACGTAAATGCACGAGTTCTTTGCTTCACTAGACAACAGTCCATGTAAGTGGACCATACTAAAGATCTATAGTGATGAACTATGGCAATACGAACTTATCTGACATACTAACAGGAAAAACGAAAAAGTCCAAAGAAATTCCAGTCTCAGCCAAAATCACTTTTTTCATGCCTTAAATCTTTGGTTAGAACAAAACTCTCGAATAGAATGTGCAAAGACAGGAAATTAACCAATACTTGCTGTGGGAAACATTTGATACTTCTTCCCAATTCCCCCGCATGGACGATGGTATAATGTCCACACTTGCCATCTTATCTTCTCCTTTAAGTCTCATAGCAACAGCACCCCTTGTATTCCTTCCCTGTGTTCGAATCTGGGTCCAAATAAGACTAAAATGTCATTAAAAAAATTCGCAGGAAAATAGTTTCAAAAGGTAGTGGTGAGAAAAGTAAGGTAATTTCAAATGACTAAATCACATGCACGAACCATTCCCGCATTGAAATTCTGGAAATTATTGTCGAATGAATGCAAACACACTTAAGTACTATATTTGAAAAGACAATGCAAACACACTTCATATATTAGAATAAGACTATTAAGGTTCCACGTGAATAGTACAATTTAAGAACTGTGGATGTTTCTTATGAACATTTTGAAAGCAATAAGAGACGCTCAATGCAGGAAGAATCCAGATAGCAAACAAAAGGAAAGTACAAGCTAAATTTGATTACATAGATTATCAGAACCTACAAAAGGAGAGATTGTCAATGTCATTCACTTTATTCAAGCATATTGCAGATTCAGGTAATAAACCTTCAACTTAACAACCTACTAGAATTATCTTTCAAAGTAATCCCAAATTGGGTCATGAGTCACAACAACAGAAGAAGAAAAACACTATTAAATGGAGAGACTTAAAAGGACCAAAAAGTTCATTCTTAGACCTTGGCAAATTATTGTTTATGGATCAAGGTGATCTTTAAGTAAGACTATCCAACTTCTGAACAAGAAAATAAGGAGAAGAAACATTACAATGTCGCAGGAGCTAAGGATGACTATTCCATTTTGGGAAGCCATAGCAACGAGATCATCATTTGAGCAAAGGCGAACCCATTTCAGCTCATCACCAGGAACCTAATAGAGTAAATCACGACTTTACAGTGACCACCTTGTAAACACTGAAGGCAGAAGAGAGAGAAAGAGTAGACTAACCAACTGAATCGCAATAATTCCTGTTGACCTTATGGATGAGAAAGAATTCAGTGATACTTTTTTGATGTAGCCGTTTGCAGAAAGCATGAGTAGAAACTGATCTTCAGCGAACTCTTTCACAGGAACAATTGAAGTTATTCTCTCACCATCAGATAATGATAAGATCTGCCTCGGGCAAAAAATATCGTGGGGAACAATCAGCTGTCTCCAATACCAGAAATATACTAACAGCAAAGCAACCGCACAGGATTATACCTGGACCAATGGTGTACCAGCAGCCGCCCTTGAGCATTCAGGAATTTTGTATGCCCGTGCTGAGTAAACTATTCCCTTATCACTGCAAATTTACTTAGTGTCAACTATGTCTTCAGCCAGAACAGCAGCACTAGTCCTTTTCTTAAATGTAGAAACAAGTTCAAAGATTTTCAGCAAAAATGTCGGCTATCGACCACATAGTGCATTCATATGTTCCTGTCAGATGCAAATTCATGGTAGTGAATCATAGTAAAATAGGTAGGGAAAGACCACCTAAAACAACATACGTAACTCAGGTGAAAAGTAAAGCAAGTTAAGAATCTTACACCACTAAAAACTATCAAATGTAATTCAGGTGAATCTCTTATCTTCCACTAGCATCCAAGCTAGACCAGATTTCTCCACAACAACCAGGACGGAAACAGAGTCAAGTGAGAAGTCACGGCTTATACTGACACAGATCAAAATAGAGTACAACAAACATCTCCATATCACTATCAACACATGGTCAATGATCCACTGGAAGGTCCCCACAGCAATACTAGCTATAAACAATTAATGAATCAACACTCTCAACTCGAAATTCTGGAGATAAATGATAGAGACAATAAAAACCTAGAATCAAAGCACAGGCTAATAAAAACATAATAAACTTAAAGGAAAAATGACCAATTGCGAATAACATAAATATGAATACAAAAAAATAATAAGTTTTCATATCCAATAAACAATATTTGCTATTACCTGAAGTAAAGAACATGATCATGTGCATGACAAACAATGAAGTCAGACATGGCATCATTGACTCTTAATTTTCCAACAGATTTGCCAATGGTCCCCCGGTGCTGAAGATTGAAGGTGTTTGGTTTCATCCGTTTCATGTAACCTTTTTCACTCAAGGCCTGAACATTCAAAAAGTATTCTGAGAATGGAAATTAAAATAGCAACGATACGATTATAAGGCTAAATAACATGAACTTTTGCAGTGTTTTCCATATTTGACTGGAAATCTAATGACTATTAATCCGCATGACTCTTACCTCCACACCCCACCTAGTGGTTCAACCATACTTCAAGGAGGCTAATAGGATTTTTTATCAATTAAATAGCAACTGCTATCAAAGTTGGCTTTGGACAAGAGAGAGGACAGAGAGGGAGAGGAGAGGTAGGTATTCCGAGAGTTGACAACAATGATGCTGTGCTTGTCCCCAGTAGTAAAGGGACATGTCAACATAATAAATAAGAATGGTGATCAGATGACTATGCAGGTTATCTAGCTCCAAATGAAAATCGGTAAAGCTGAAAACAGATTGGGTTGCAGAGTATGGCAGCGAACCAGCCACCACGGATGACCATAAATGTTGGTTCTCCATGTACAATGCCTGCTCAGACAATGCCACCGTGGTTGACTGAGTCAGCCTTTTTATTCTTTTTGCAAACTTTTCTAATTGGTTTTTTCATGAAGGCCAACTGAAAGCACTATAAAACATTTTCTTGTCAAACTCAAACTGAACATTTAATGTCTTTGGAAGAATTAGACATCATTTGTATCAGATCCCAACTCCAACCTCATGGTGTGTATGCGGCAGAGTGACTGAGAGTGTATTTGGTTCGGCTTTTGGGGAAAGTCTTTGGGAAAATGCAAAGGCCTTAAGGTTAAAGAGGTTTTTCGAAATGCAAGTAGTGTTTGGTAAATTGTGACTGAAAAGTGCATTAGAAAGCAACATTGGTTTTAATGGTGTTTGGAAAAATCACACTTTGTAAAGGACTTCCGCTAATTCTTTTCTTTTAAAAACCTCAAAACCGGCGAAGGGCTCAGCAGCCGGCAAGGCTAAATTTGGCGCCACTGGCCTCGCCGGCGGTTGAGCCTTTGGCGGTGACATCATGCGAGTTGAAGACATTTCTAAAATTATTAAAGTTTAGCGAGGGAAAAGTTTTGAGGAAAAAAAAAAGTATTAGCATTCTGGAAATGCTCAAACCCCAAAGCATCTCTGGACCTGCCTCTGAAGGCCTTTAGAAATGCAATTGCATCTCCCAAAGCTCTCCAAGAAATTTGCCAAATGATACTTGCATTGCCCAATGCCCCTTGGGAAAGTGGTTCCCAAATGCACCCTGAGGCTATCATTAACTACTCATACAAGTTCCTACTCATAGACAATCTTCAAAGTATAGGTCAAATTTGAAGAACTCCCTAAAGGTTGTAATTTGGCATAATAAAGACAAGCATATCAAGTACCAGCAGCATTTCTTCGTTTGGAATGACATCGATATCTTCAACTTGACCGCTTTCAGTCTCCTCTAATAGTGAACGCCTTGGAGTAGTAAACTTATTCTTAAGTTCAACTGCTTCTTGTTCTATCAACTGAGAATAAATCACATATCAAACAATGATCAACAGTAATAAAATATTTCTTATCATCACCAAAAATAGTTATCCAATCACTATTCAAATTAAAAGGTTTTAAAAAATCCTTTACTCAAGGGGGATAATCAATATCAACAATGAAACAATGGGGTAAGCAACTGCTTGAAACAGTCGCCACAAACAAACCCAAATGAAAAGGCAGTAAAGCTAAAAGAACATTAACAACTAGTTACCTGTAATATGTTTTTTCGGCTTGACAAGAGTTCCTCTAATTTAAGAATTTGTTCCATCAATGATTTGCTTTCATCAACAAATTTCTTTCTCTGTGCAGCACAAACACAGAAAAAGCTATCAACACAAATGAACAAGATCAAAATTGAAAAACATGACTTATGCTCCATTTTTGGGTACCTCCAGAAGAGTGAGTCGTCTTAAACTTATGTCAAGTATAGCTTCAGCTTGTTTTTCAGACAAATTATACTCTGCAACAGCAATATATTGATGAGACGTATATCGATAAAGAGGTTTCCCACGTCAGTAATCACAGAAATTCCATTCTACCAGTGTGGACAGCATTTTTGGTGCAAGATCAGATTATAAGAAGGACAAAAGAGTCAATCGACGAGATACTAAAATTGGTGAATAAAAGATTAATCTCAAGGAATCTAAAGATTTCTTTTTCAACAGAAAAAGTCAAAAGTAGAGGCATATCAATAAGAGCAGTTTTTTAAGTCACTTAAACGAGCATACCACTCCTAAGACCAGCTGATGCATTTGCATTGCTTGAGGCCTCCTTTATTATGCGAATCACACCATCCAGATTATCGAGTCCAATCACAATGCCCTAAGGATCATAGGAAGTTTATTATGTATTGCAAAGGTTAGAAGTCCAAAGCAAAAGAAATCCAAGTTAAAGCATATATAATTGCCAATGCCTAATGGCAAGGACTGGAGAAATTTTACTACGAAGATCTTTTACAGAAAGAATCCACCAGGAAAAAAAAATGCACAAGATAGAATAACTAGTTTCGATTGCAAAGGAAAGCTTATTGTTTAAAAAGAGATCCTGACCGTACCTATTTTTCCCTTTTTACTTTCCTTTATATTGCTTTTCAACTGAAAACTTTCAACCATTATAAACACACTTTTAACCAATTATATATCAGGTAGCATAGCAAACCTCAACAATATGCCTTCTTTCTTGTGCATGAGAAAGCTTGAACCTCGCTCGTCTCTCAACAACAGAGCATCTGAATTCTAAGAATGCCTGAAACAGGAGTTTTCATCGAAGTATAAGATTAATATGCATGATCACAATTCATAAAAAATAAGATTATATGGAAAGACACAACAGCGAGGATGGATGGCTCAAACAAAAGGGAACAAAGAAGAAACTTTCACCAGCCTAGCTCATTCCCATCCCTTGCATAGTATCTTACTCAGAATCACAAAGTGATATCGGGAATGTGTTACTAATTCCAATTCATTGACCGATTCAATTTTTGATAAATCCAGCCAAGGGACTGGTGATTTCTCAGTCCATAAGGCACATTTATTCTACTTCGCAAAAAGGAACATAATGGCACCATCAGTCAAGTTAATAGGTTCAACTGCTCGTCAACACTCCAACCGAAATGGTTTACTCCAGGCATTCGTCAGAACCTTCAATCACCCATATGATAAGTCAGGCACTTAAGCATAACAATAGTACAGGTAGCATCCAATCACCTGAAGCAATTCCTTCAAACCCATCTGTTTCGGTTGTCCATTTAAAATACTGCATAAAGGAGGAAGACAATATCAAATGATACAGTTCATCGTATAATGCAAATAACAACAGTAAAAAAATAGCTTTCCACTAACTGGAACCGGCCACCTAAATTTTAGGTCACTCTAGTAGTATTGAGTCTGATGACATAATTCTGCTGAACAAAATGCAGTTTAGAGCACAGTGCTGCAGTTTATACTCAGAGAAAGCCCATCTCAAATTCTGACAGAGATGGATCAAATATAAAAGAAACGCTCTCACAAATAAAAATTGCACTAAAGAAATTTAAAGATTTAATTCATATCCAAAATACCAACCAAGCATTCTCATAACCATCCTGCATTACCATTTTAAGTATGGCAAAATGAAGCAACATATATTCCTAGGGAAAATTATAGCATCTTAACCAACTATACAATTGGGTGTCTAAATGAATGCATTGGGGGGAGGAAAGTTCTTTATTCCTCTTAAAAACCAAAAGGTATGACCACTTGCAAAAGCAAGCAATTACCCAATAATGAGATTATCAGCCCAATGATTCACTCCATCCCTACAGCTTAACATCAGGATTCACGAGAGTCACAAACACAAGCTTCTGCTTCTTCTGCAACATTCTCCATTTCAGCCTTCAACAGAAATTGCTGTCGCACAGCTACTTTTCCATGAACTGTGATTTGATTGTCTGGTGTCACTGATGCTAGTAAATTTCACGGACACAGAGATTTTAACCAGGAATTGTTTTGACTCTCCCTGTTGCATTATGCAAATAAACTTTCTTTTCTTTAGCTGAAACACTTATCAACATAATTTTCAAAACATGTTGAAGATCATATCTACAGTTGCATGTCAATTTCTTAGAATAAGGTCCAGATGAGCTGACTCTTCTCCATTTTGGAATCTGATCTCCATAACGTTGACAGGGAGCGGGGAAAAGGGACGATAAAGCACGTCATGACACCAGATTTACCACAGTTATACAAACTTCTGTGAATATCAACTTGCAGAAAAGAAAAAAATTGCAACAAGATGTTTCCAATTTCATCTGCTGTCCGGTTTATGTCGCGACACTGAACTACAATATACATGAGTCCAATCAGAACAGGTTTTGCCCCATCCACTTGCCTTATGGCGCGGAAAGAAAATACAATGGATTCCTTGGTGCAAAGCCACAAAGAACGTACCCCACCATGTTGCAACTAAAGCTAGATTGAAGAGCTGTCAGGCGATATAGATTATTTAGGACAATCAGAGGGTCTGATCCACGCTTTAGCTGAAATTCAAATCATTTATCTCCCATTAGCCAATACATGAACTGAAGCCAAATTCTGAGAAATATTGCCAGCTCCTAAAATCTTTATCAAAATGAAAGGAAGGAGTGAACAATTTCCATACCTCAATCACAATGCGCATTCCAGACCGGTCGCTTTCATCACGAATATCACTAATTCCATCCAAATTCTGTAAGAATAAAAAAAAAAAAAGAGCGATGACTATTATCTTAAGAGCATGTAAGTCACAGCACGGAGCAACTTATATTTTTTTTGCTATGGCAACATACAAGTTAGACAATTTCAGAAAAAAGGTTGTACTACTATCCATGAGTCCGACTGGTGGTCTTGATTTGAGAAATAAGGACCAGTTTCAAATGTCTCAGAGAATATGCAATACAAGGCAGAGCACGGTAACATTGCAATAGTATATATTAAAAAAAGCTAAATTGTTCAGTCTCGGACAGTGCTTTATAGGAGATTGATTGCACAAGAACAGCATGAGTTGAAAATCCAATACCCAGCCTAGATGTATCCACAAGCACACTGCATGTTTATAGCTACCAGGAAATTCATTTGACATCATGACATAAATGATGGAGGGAAGGAGTAGATTTAGTTGCGCAACCCATTTTCAATACTTAGCAAGGGCACCAGGATGTGCTTAAGCAGATGTTACTTCAGAAGCATAAGCCTAGCATTTTTTTGACCAGATGGAATGTAGCCACCCCAAAACAACAATTAATCTCGTGATATCTAACATCCATGATGAGCCAAAAATTTCATACATGAGTAAAAACAGACTACTCAAAAGGCATTATTGCCCAAACGCCTTAATGAGGTTTGAGTGAATTGGAGCAACTTTAAAAAATAGCAGAATGGACAAGGCATGACCTAGGCTGAAGTGCAAGGGCATATGCACCTGACTCAGGTGCCAAATGAAAGTTGCCACAGTATTCAACATTTATGTCATAAATCATGCCAGACTAATTTCACCAAAAGAAGAAAAGTACATCCATTCTACTAGAAGTATACACTTAATGTCACAGAACGAGAGCTTATCGAAAAGGGAGCTGGAAATTTTGACTTGGTTTAATCTGTTTGCTATGAAAGAATGACAATATTTGTAGTCTGATCATGAAAATACCTTGTTTTCCACAAGTTCAGCAATCTTTTGCACAAGTGATGCTTTGTTCGTTTGGTAAGGAATCTGGTTGGCATACAGAAGGCAACAGTAGGAGAGTCATCACAACCATTTTACCCCCAGCCAAATCACAGAAATGAAAACAAACCTAACAAAACAATTTACCTCTTTTATGATTACCGCTGTTCTTTTGGTTTTTGAGTCGAGCAACTCCACATCAGTTTTCCCTCGGACAACAACCCGCCCTCTCCCAGTTCGATATGCCTCTAAGATGCTTTAAAGGTATAAATATTAGCCCGACCATTGAGATACGAGTGATTGCTGCTATTAAGTCCAGTCATCTGGAATTACTAACATGCTATTATCATGAAAATATTCTTGAAAATTTCAGCCATTAGAATGCTTTGTGAGCGGTTGGAAAAACAGAATTAGTAAGATAAAGTCGAGCGAAAAAGAAACTGAGGGGATAGACCCAAACAAGTCAACTCTTCATTCCATCTCCAGAACAACCAGTGAATCTAATCTTTTAAAATAATTGTTAAATTAGAGGAAAAACATAAAGGTAGGTCTTCCAAGGCAAAAACATAAAGGTAGGTCTTCTAAGGCCATGTACAGCTACGAGACTGGATAGCTTCGAACACATTCCCGGAAAATCACATACTTAGATCTATAAAGTCAACCTTAGCGACTTCCAATGACTACTTAAAGTCCAATCGCTGGATGGGGAAAAAAACCTTGTAAAGTTAAGAGTCGAGCTTCCACCATGACAAACATCAATGAAATGAAAAATTAGTACGTAACCTACCCGATATTTCCCATGATCAATCCTCCGGTTGGAAAGTCCGGACCAGGCATGTATTCCAACAATTCTTGCAGCTGCAAGAAGGCAAAAAACCCATAAAGTCTCCCAATAGGAGTAAAAAGACTGAAATCAGCAACAAAAGCAGAACTATTAGCACTGTGAAGAGTCCCCTTTCTTATAAAGAGACAATTAAGTATTCGAGTAATGCAAGTTTTGAGCTAAACACAGAAAAGCATGAAGCAGTTTTTGCAATCGTTTCTTTTTGGTGAATTAAGAGTTATAAGCCAAAAGTGTTATGGGAAAGGGGTTCAGACCAAGAATTACAAAAGGAAAAACAAGCTGAAGCATACAGTTCTACAATGCTACACCATCCGCCTTTATCATTAATAACATGAATAATGAGACAAAGAAAACTTCCCCAGAAATAATTTTGCAAGAAGAGAAGCAAATTGAAATTCCAAAGAAAAAAGGCTTTAAAAAGAACCGAACAGATTTTTTTACCAAAGAGCATTGATAAAAACCTTTTTGGTATGAACGTCACCTTCTAGTGAAATTACGGTGCTTACCGTGGCTTCTGGGTTATGAATCAAAGCACAAAGCGCATCTACCAACTCCCCAAGATTATGAGGAGGAATGTTAGTCGCCATGCCAACCTATCAAGAGAAACTATACTAGGTCAAGAAATATGGAGCATGGGGATACATTATTCATCTACCCCAGAGAGGGCAGAAGAAGATGGAAAAGGAAAATGGAGAAGAAAGATTACTCATAATTGGCATATTAAAACTAAAGCACAAAGTGAAAGATAAAAGAATTTGTTTTGAAGTAAAATCACCGCAATCCCAGAGGAACCATTCAACAATAAAGTTGGAAGCCGAGCAGGTAGCAGTGACGGCTCCTTTTGTGAATTATCGAAGTTTGGAACAAAATCAACCTGCAATATCACAGAGATTGACCCATGGAGCTGCGAGTTACAAAAACCATTAAAATATGATCAGGCAGTAGCACAACAAAAGATACTCACTGTGTCTTGATCGATGTCTGCCAACAACATGGCCTCCGTCAATCCCTGCATAACCAAGAACTTATCATATGCTGTTTTATGACCGAACCAGTACAGTGTAGAGTAAGCTCTAAGTGTATCATTCTAGTTTTTGAATTCGATTAAAAGATTCCCTTTTTTAGAGAGAAGCTTTGCTTTGCTTGTCCGCACATGGTTAACTGCTCTGAATGATTTACAGCTAGAAGACTCTTTGAAGGCAACAACTGTTAAGGGCCATTTTGAAAGGTTTGGACTCAAGTGCCCTTCGGCATCGTGCCTGCTATTCATTTGTGGTTTTAAATGGGTAGTAATATTTGCGTACTAAAGAGAAGGCAAAAATATTGTCAAGGAGCTAAAGTTCATGATGGTTAGGAATTAATCCTCCATGTTCATCAAAACATTTGTTCTCAAATGGCATGTACATTCATGAAGCCTCCTTAAAGTTTCCATCGCAGTGCATTTGCAAATGCGTTAGCACCTCTTTTGTGCCCTGCCTTCCTTTTCTAGTATCAACAAATATTTATACAAAAATACATGGATGCAAACAGAAGATAGAATTGTAATCACCAAAATCTCGTAATGGTCTGCAATGGTTTTACTCCATAGAGCTCATTATTGGCTCTTACTCACTTATGAAAAACAAAATAATCATCAACCAAAGCCAAGCTAAACAGATCAGGTAACATGTTTGAGCATTTACACAACAATTAGGGCCTGCTCTGTCTTTTTCTCAGATATTAATACGTCTGCCCTACTTTCTGTAAGACTCGTAAAACATAGGCATAACAGCCCCTTTCCCTCTTCATAACAGTGCCGCAAAGTCGGATGCAAAGGTTATGTCATTTTCAATATTAAATCAGTTCATAGTTCCCCATTTAAAACATTTCCAGGTGGTACTAAAACAGATATGATGTCCACTCATCCAAAAAGAGTTTCTTCATGTGTTACTTTCTTACGAGGTCACTTGAAAACGTCCACCTCAAAAATCAGAAGATTACTTCTTCAGAATCCATAAGCTCTGTTGATCAGGTTCACAGCTAAGGCCCAAAAGAATTGCTATCACATTGATCTATCAGAGTCAACAGGTACTTATTCCTTGGCCCCTCCAAAATTTTCTTATAGCACTTTAATGCATATTTTCTTGAAGTAACAACTACTGCCACCAAATCAGAGAAGCCAAAGCATATTTCATAAATTCAGCAGAAAATAATGCAATTGAGATAAGACTAAACAAACCTCCAGTCTGCATTCCGTGTAACGCATGGCAGCTGCAGGATCAGCATCAATTGAACCAAAATTTCCATGCCCTTGTATAAGCGGGCAGCGCAAGGAGAAATCCTGGAAGAGAAAATAATGAGTTCTCTGTTGATTGCGGAGAGGAAAATGAAATACAAATCACCGTGATAAAAGAGAAGCGAGAAGAGTCAGAGAGACAAAGGAAATAGAAATCCAGAAACTTCAAAACCTCTGTTATTCCAGCACGTGCTCAGTGTAGGAAATATGATGGCTTTACTGTTCTAAAACCAAAATCACTTATTTTTACAATTGAACGTTAATTCCCACAATAAATTTCCTTCCATGACATTTATATGTAATTGATGGATAGCAAGATAGCAATAAGATACCCAATACAAGAAGTTCTCCATCAGCTTAATCTTAAAGATGAAATTTTCCCTTCGCTTATCAAAGGAAAATTCTAGTTTAAGAAAAATGAACCAAAAAAAAAAATCATGCACTCCAACTAAGAATCATGGGTAAAAGAATAAATCGTTTGCACAAGTTTAATCCAATGTCAGAGTAAGCATTTTAATATCATGCAAACTGACAGACAATTATAATAGGAAAAACCATTTCACTACAAATAGCATATCAGCTCCTATAAACTGCATATTTACCTGAGCCATTCGAACTAAAGAATCGTAAACAGCAGTATCTCCATGGGGATGAAATTTACCCAAAACCTAAAAACAAGATCAGGTGAGCTACATGATACATCTAAATGGAAGCAGACATTCAAGGAAAGGGAAATGCTGTATAATTACTCAATGAAGTACCTCTCCAACAACTCGAGCACATTTTTTGAATGGTTTACGAGATGAAAGACCAAGTTCATGCATTGCAAACCTGTCGGACAAAATAATTAGAAAGAGAATCAGAAGCAAGATATTTATCCAGGAATTTTATAGAAAAAGCGAGTGATAGTAGTTAACCAGCTGTCACTAGCCCAATATAATATCCTTTATTGCTCTAAAGTTTTAGTGAAGTCAAAGGAGGGTCCAGCATATTCTAATTTCATACATAAAGCAAGATAGATTGTCAATATTCTCCATTTAGGAAAAGAGTGGACGGTCAAGGGCAAAAATTCAGGAAATTTCCTCAGGGCCCATGTTCTTCATCCTCCCCGAATTGGGAGAAGGGAAAAGAGGCAAACAAGATCTCAATTTCTTGAGTTACTCTTATTGTTTTCCAGACAGTGTACATCCTACAAACAATAGTTCCACTGATCCTCATCTGCTGCAAGCATGTGACCTTTTTTTCATTTCCTTTAAAATGTACTTTTTGGAAGACCTATATATGCTTACTAAGCCTTGAATTCTAACTTAAGAGGGCATCATGATTCGCAAGATTATTTCTCTTGTTTCCCAACAACGCACAGCCTTGTTCTCTCCCCGCCCAGTCTCTCCCCTAAATATAAACCAGTAAAGTACGCCCACGTCCCACTTCTCCCACTTCTATTTCTCAACTGTCATTCCCTTCACCATCCTTTATCTTCTGTTCAAAAACAGCAGAAAGAAAAGATTCTGATATTTACTACAGAAAACTTCTAAAGACCATATCCAAAATCCTTACATTTTACAGATGTTGACAACACATGCATCTCGACATTGGACTTTATTCGTGACAGATGCATACACACCTTAGCTAATGTGCATAATTGCACACAGAAGCTAAGAGAAAATGGCAGATATCCATATCTTATTTTAATGAATCAAATGTGATATTTCTCCCAATGCCAACCTTAGCTTCCATTGCACACTAAAAGAATTACTGAAAGAGTTGGTGCGGATAATATGTTGACACCTAAATTAGCGTATATTGTTCTGATCATAAAATGTTTCAATATACCTTCAATGAGATCAATCAACAAAAGGGTTGCGGTGCATATAAACGAGAAAAGCAGATTAACACTCAAATTAGAGCAACGCCTTCCTTGAGAGCATTTGACTCGAAACAAGGATTAACAGCCTATCTAAAGATAAAGAAAAAGAATATCCTCTTCCAGACATTGCAATGCCAGAACTTAGAGGCAATTAAAAAGATCCCAACTTTCATTTCCCTAAACAACCTCAATAACCAAAACTACAAGGGTCGCTGCTATCATTACCCTGCATTTCATTACCCGCCCAAAAACCCAAATAAAAGGGAATTTTGAACAAGCAGAACCACGAACTCACAATATCCTGCGATGCACAGGCTTCAACCCATCCCGCACGTCCGGCAAAGCCCGGCCAAGCAGCACCGACATTGCATACGCCATGTACGCATCGGTGGCCTCCTTGTGGAGCTCCGTGGGGACGATCCTACCATTTCCGTCCACCTCCCTATCCTTGACAATCAGGCCCCCGTTCCCATCCAGCCCTTCCGCTGGACCGTCCTGCTTCGGAGACCCGTCCCTGCGCCTCGCCCTCGCGGGCCGAGGGCCCCTCGAGGAAGAAGCCGAGTAGAAGCGGAGGCACGAGAGGTCGGTCCAGGCGCGGGCGAAGCGCTTGGGGTTGGCCGGCACGGGGAGGTGAGCGCGGAGGAGGAGGGAGGAGGAGTAGCGGAGGGTGGAGCTGAACGCCATGGGAGGAGCGGAGAGAGAGCGCGGGGCTGAGAGCGCGGATGGCGGAGAGGGATTCATGGGAATGGCATGGCCATTGCTGTGGAAGTGGAGTGAAGCGAAGCGAAGAGACGATTGCCGTGGTGGGGGGCTTAAGGCAGAAAGGTGAGTTTTTTTTATTTGAAGGTTTTTGCTGTCCTAAAACCCTAGGAGAGAGAAAGAGAGAGGGGTTCTTGCGCGCCAAGATGGATTTGCCTTTCGGATGAGTGAATCGTTTTGTTTTTGGAAATGACTAAAATGGTCTCTAAATTTTAAAATAATATATAACGTGATTCTTGAATTTTCAATTTATTCAATGTGATCCCTGAATTTTAGCTCAATATGTAATATTATCCCTGAACTTTTAATTTATCCAATGTGATTTTTAAACTTTTGATGCATGTTCAAATTAGTACATTTACTATACGAAAATGTTATATATTGTCCTTTTATTAATTTAAGTTCAGTTACATTATTTATGGATTATATTGCCTCGATGACTATTTGTGTTATTATCCCTTTTGTTTTATTTAGAGGTTTTGCAAGATCGGTGCCAAATTCTTAGACATTGTTCCATTCCATCCTTCAAATTTAATTTTTGATCGATCTAACCGTTTTTACTCTTTCTTTTGAAATAATTGTGCTCCCTTCAAATTGACAGTGGCAATCCAAAGTAACTATAGAATCCAAAAGTCATGTCGGCAGATCTTTTTAAAAATTAAAAAATTGAACGACGCAAGGGCCAAGAGAGAGAGGGGGTGCGGAGTAGAGATGCGTAAAGAAATCGGAAATCACCCAGAACCAGACCAGACTGGTCGGGAATCGGCAGTTTCCGTGAGGACCGATCTGATTGTTGGTTCTAATTTATTGGAACTGGTGAATACCGATCCGGTTCCCGGTTCTAGGTGTGGAACCGCCCACTCGGACCGGACCGGTAATATATGTATATATATATACATATATATAATTTTTAAGAAAAATTTCAAAAAAAAAAACATTTTTAGAAAAATGAAAACAATAAAATCCCTAATCTGAAACTCATCTCTCCACTTCCATCAACTCACAGCCATGCCTCTAACATTTCATCACCTCCCTTTCTCACTCTCGATCACCTCCATTTGCGTGAAACTTGATGAAACCGGTTTCATGAACCCATCCGGGAACTGGACCGAACCGGCGGTCTTATTCCCGAGTGGATTCATAAAACCAACGAGCGGTTCTCGATTCCATGTTGGGAACTGCCGACCCAAATTATGCTTACCGTTAATACAAAGGGAGTGTGTGGAGGTTAGTAGTGTTGTCTCTCTACCTATGACGACCTAACCGAGGTCTGGACGACCGACCCTCGCTATGAGTAGGCAAGGGTAAAAACTTTATGCAATGTCGACACCATTGCTCGTCATCACCAAGCAAAGGTCAACCGACATGGCGCCTCCACCATGCGAGATCACTTGCCCTTACCCAAATTTAGGCGAGGGGAAGTAGGCATCGTTTGATCACGGGCTTATGAATAAGAAATTATGATTAAAAAAAATTAATTAAAAAATTAAAACCGTCATTTCAGTAGAATATGAATCCACTATTAAACATGCTACCAACTTTAGCTAGTCTTTTATAAAATATAAGATTACTACCACAAAAAACTCTAAATTGATATATTTATGATAAATTTATTACAAACTAATTTTTTTGACTAACAAAAATTTTAAATAGGCACATTTGCGATAAATTCATCATCCGTTAGTTTTTGCTAAATTTGATTAATACCACTAAAAATCACAAACTTCAACTCAAAATTACGTGTCATCTAACTCGATAATTTGACGGTCAAATTTAACGGAAACTATCAGAAGGTAAATTTATCACATGTGTGTACTTGTTCGGAGTTTTTGATGATCAAAAAATTAGATTGGGTCTTTGTTATTTCCTATAAAAATTTTATTTGTCCATCGGGATGACGTTTTCTTTTCATTTCCGGTGCTGAATCGGCATTTTCAGTCCACACTTGCAAGGAAAAAGTGGAAATTTCCCCTCAAAATCGCGATTGAAGATCAGTTCGAGGACTAAGATGAAAATATACGAAGGCCACGAGGCCATCTTTCCAAATTTCCCCTAATAACAACAAACGACCCCTCCATTTCCGCGAATTTGCAGAAGCAGCGGGCGCCGCTCCCTCCTTCCACTCTCGCCGGCACCGACGTTGCAACCCCGAGAAGAAGAAGAAGAAGAAGAAGACAAGCTTCTGCGTCTTCCCGTGGCCGCCATTGATGATTCGCTTCCTTCTCAAAGCGTCACTGCGAATCCCCATCAGCAAAGGAGGCCCGAATCCCTATCTCTGCCATCCCTCCGTCCAATCCCTCTCCACCGCCCCCGCCCCTCCTTCGAACCCCGGCTCCCTCGAGGACCGCCTCGCCCGCGCCCATGGCTTCTCCCCGGAATCGGCCCGCGCCGTCGCCGCCGCCGTCGACCCCAAGCTCAGCCCCAAGCTCGACTCCTTCGTCGCCGTCTTCAAGGGCCACGGGTTCTCCCCCGCGGAGGTCGCCCGCGTCTTGCTCAGGTACCCCAGGGCCCTCCGGTCCAACCCGCTCAAGAACCTGAAGCCCAAGCTCGATTTCCTCGCCGGCAACGGGGTCGCGGGCGAAGCCCTAGTCCACGTCCTCACCAACGATCCCTATCTTCTCAGGAGGAGCCTGGAGTTGCAGCTCGCCCCCTGTTTCAATTGCCTCGTTAGGTTCTTCGGCAATAGGAGGGACGCGGTTGCCCTTTTGATGGTCAAGCGCGGGACTTGGGTACTGCACAAGTTCACCGATTCGATGGAGGTCAATATCAATAAGCTCAGGCGGCTCGGCGTGCCGGATTCGAGCATCGCGAAATTGATGACGGTCCGTCCTAGGACTCTGTCCCGGGAGGCGGCCGAGTTCAGCGAGATCGTGGACGAGATAAGGCGGATGGGCCTTCACCCTTCGAGCTTGATGTTTGTTTACGGGGTGATTACGCACGCCGGGATGAGACGCCCGAAATGGGAGTCCAAGATAGCCGTCTTTAAGAAGTTTGGGTGGTCGGATGAGCAGTTTAAGGCGATATTCGTGAAGCAACCTCAGATTATGAATCCCTCTGAGGAGAGGATGCAGCAATTCTTGCATTTCTTTATGAACGAGTTGGGATGGACCGCGGACGAGTTGACGAATTGCCCCAGTATCTTTATGGCGAGCTTCGAGAAAAGAATTTTGCCTAGGATGTCCATTCTTTTGGTTTTGCTATCGGAGGGTCTTGTGAAGAGGAAGTCGTTGCTAGGGAAACTCCTCATGTCTGAGGATAAGTTTTTGAGTAAGCTTGTGATGGAGAATGTGAAAAAGGCTCCCCAGCTTTTGCAGATGTATGAAGACAAACAAGTTCTAGCACAGTTCCATGCTGTCAAGGTAACACCGAAATTCCTCCGACCGCACATTTAAACTTCTTTAGTAGTTACAGGTTTTTTGCTGTCTAGGCTTTTGACTTTCCTGTTTTGCCTACGTAATGAGGTTGGGAGTAGAAGTGTGATGTGTAGAGGCAGTGGTTTGATTAGGCAGGGCAAGGGCATTTTGATTTAGATATCAATAGCATTGAAGGATTTAAGGGCTGGGGAGGCGGTGGAGGACTTTTAGAAATTATGCTAGTGCCGAGCTTTTGAAAACATATTACTACTAGTTCATGTCTTGCAAAATTTTAAAATAACTTGTTACTTATTGGAGTGGCATTGATAACGTTTCAAAAATTTACTTGAGATCAGTGTATTTCAAGCTCAAATAAAAGCATAATATTTGGCTTGTTGATATATCGAACTGAGTCTTGTTCTTAGTTTTTAATAATTTTATGCTCTAGTAGATTGAAACCGTGGTGAGGCCATTTTTTAACAACAGTTCAAACAGAATACTCCTAAAGGAGAATGTTGAGGGGGTACATGTGTCAATGCCTTTTTTCTTTCTTTTCTTTGCGAAAAGTAATTATCTTTCTGTTCTTTATTAATACGCAGAGAAATGCCAAGCAGTAAATTTTGTACAAGACAATTGATTTTGTTGGTTGTTATTGTTATGCATAGGTATGTGAGTTTATATAAGTAACATCCGTTACCTTGCACCCCCAAATTATTAAATATGTCCCTGTTTGTCAAGGACAGCCACGATTTGGCTGACATTGAATCATTTTACTTTTTTTTTATAAGTGACTTTGTGAGCAATGTCAAGGTAGATGCTAGACTGAAATATGTGCAGCAAATGACAACCAAAATAAAGGCAAATCTTGTCTGCAATATGTTTGTTAGCTGTTATAGACCCTTCTTTGATTTTGCTCGGCCTACTCTTTGAGAGGTTCTACATAGTATTGCCTCCTCTATTGATTTAATTTTTCTTTCAGCCAAGGCATCATTTTATCTACCCCCCAGATATTCTAGTTTACAAAAAGAGAAAGAACTATTGGGATGATTTGACGATGCTGAATAGATTTGCGCAATGATGACCTAGTTCTAGGACCTCGGTGAATTGGAGGAACATTGCATGTGTTCTTTCTTCTTAGACCTCGAGAAGAAGCAATTTCAGCTGCATGTTTTTGTATGTCATGCGGTCCAGATGTAATCTCAGTCCTTTTTATCATATTTCTGGAAAATTTGATATAAGGACATAAGGACTCATAAAAATTCAAGTTAAGCAACGTGGAGATTTTTTTTTCATCTTTATTCTCTTCCTTTTTGCATTGAGGTCTCTGCCTTTTTTCCCTCTTTTATCTTTATTCTTCCAGTGGGTGGATAACCAGTTACTATTTTGGGGGACCTATAACACCATTTATCTGGTTTCCAGTTGTTCACTTTCCTCATTTATATCAAATTAATCTTTTAACGGTCAGTGAAACTAGAAGTTTAGAGATTCTTAGATTTAATTGTTAATTCCTATTTTAGTCTTGACTGAATTTCAGTGAATGGTAAGCTACTATGTGTGTGATGACTCAAGATATTCGAAATTCATTTTTCTTGTCTTAGTTTTAGATTATATTGTCCGGGAGAGCGATAGAAGGATAAGTTGAGAGAGCAACTTGCCAACATTTTTAAGTAGATAATGATGGTTCTTCAATGCTATCAATAATTTAGGTTCTCATAGTCCTTTTGGATCTGCGAAGGCCATTAATCCAATTTCTCTCTATATGCTTGTAAAATTGACATACTTTGGTTAAATGCTTTTTTTTCTTTAGCTAATGTTCTCCCGCATCTTTGAACTCTCGATAAGAGAAGGGGATTTCAGTAGCATCACTTTATTGTGAGCATTTCTGCCTAAACTCAGAGTTGCTTTGCTAAAATGAGGACTATATAATCGAGAGGAAATTGAAAAAATCCATCATAATTTTATGGCTGACCGAACATTCAGTTGAGATGCATTTGCAGGACATTGAATCTTGTTTTATTGTCTATGTTGCTTTCACAATCTTCCACAGCGTTCCGGGTGATGGTGCATCTGTTTTTTCGCAAGTAGGAGATTCTGTGAACATAGTTGATCGGGCAGCCTATCTTTGCTCTAGGTATAGCCACCCTTTCTTGCATTTGCCCAAGGGAAATGTCCAGGTGTTTCAAAACAGGGTTTTCTTCCTGGAATTGGGGGGCTGACCTTGCTTTGCCATTTGAGATAACTGTACTCAGCCTTATCCAAATGTTTAATCTTGTGATTCGGCTTGCATGTCGACTTGTATTTCTAGTTGTTGGCAGGCGGCCTTGTCTTATTTAGGACTGCAATCCATCATCATCATCATCCGTGTACCCTTGCCCTGTTACCGATTTCTCTGCCCCGTCGTGGGCCTGTCTTCTCACTCTTGGTCTTTTCTTATTGAAGATGCAGGACTTGCCGAAAGGAGCAGTAGGAAGAGAAGGACGTTTGTAGCATCTTTGCTCCGTGAGCTCTGGAGGAGCTCTATGCTGTTTTCTACTGGTACGAGGTGCCAATGTTTCTACAGATTCTTGATCCAAACTAGGGTAGTGCCTCGTTTTCTAAATTTCGTAGGATGGAAATAGTTCATTTTCTTCTCTTTGGACGGACGCATGACATGCCTGGTTGTCCGTATGAGGCACTCTCACAATTATTTCTTGTGATTCTGTGAAAAGATAGATCAATATAATCATCAATTATTTCTGGTGATTCTGTCCGAAACTGAACTTTTTTTTTCCAATCAAGCACTCCGACCTTTCATTTTAGTTTGATGTGAGATCTTTGTTAAATAAATTATCGCATTACGTGATTTTGCTAACACGGCTCGTTTACTCAGCAAAAATTAAGCACAATTGGTGATGTGATACGCATACTTAGCAAAAGTAGTGCCATCTCCATGTAGGTATTGATGATGAGGAGATAGATAGAGAGAGTGCCCACAATGGATGTTTTAGCTGTCTGATACCGATGTCTCATTCGACGTAGCATCGTCTTAAAAAGCCACATTGGACGCCATGGTTAAATATGGTATTAAGGAGAGGAGTGTTATTGTTCACGTTGGCATTTTCCATCCGCGATTTTAATGGAGGTCTCGTGTTGCCCTCCGTTTGAAAAATTGAGCTACTTGATATGTTAGTTTGGATTTTTGTGATTGTAAAACCGGGGAGAAGGCTTTTTGAAATCGGTGGCAATGAGCGCCGGGCCAAATTTTTGCTACACATTTGATCACATTCAGAAGGCAAACGAATCATATATCATCTATATACGCGAGAAAAAAAGCGTCAAGCTTGTTCAAAAGTATATGTCCAAGCTATTAGTGACACGCTCTTACATGCAAAATGCATCTCTGAATGATTCCTCAAATTGTAAAAGATCCGATACTGTGCAAAGAAAGCAGATGAACCCGTCTTCTTGCACTTCTTCTTCTTCCTCCTCCTCCTCTTCAGTTCTAACTTGGTCCCGATGTTTCGCTCCCTGCTGAAACTCAAACCTCTCCGGCCACGTCCATCGCCTCCGTCGACGGTCCACCTCCGCCTCTCCCTCCTCTCCCTCTCCACCTCCTCCTCCTCCTCCTCCTCCTCTCCTCCTCCGTCAGTCGCCGGCGCCCTCGTCCGCTCTCATGGGTTCTCCCCGGAATCCGCCCGCGCCGTCGCCCGCGCCGTCGCCCCGAAGCTCGCTCCCAACCTGGACGGCTTCGTCGCCCTCTTCAGGGACCGCGGCTTCACCCCCTCGGACATCGCCAGCATCCTGACCCGGTGCCCCGACACCCTCGTGTCGAAGGCCAGCAACCTCCTCGAGCCCAAGCTCGAGTTCTTCGAGGAGAACGGCGTCTCGGGCGGGGCTCTCGTCCACGTCCTCGTCAACGACCCTTACGTCCTCGGGAGGAGCCTGAAGTCGCAGCTTGCTCCCTGCTTCGATTGCCTCGTCAAGTTCTTCGGGAGCAGGGAAGGTGTGGCGTCGCATCTGCTGGTCAAGCGCGGGACTTGGGTCCTGCGCGCGTTCGCTGATTCGATGGAGGCCAACATCGCTACCCTCCGGCGGCACGGGGTGCCGGATTCGAGCATCGCCAAGATGATGACGCTGCGCCCCAGGACGTTGTCGCGGGAGACGGGTCAGTTCAGTGATCTCGTGGATGAAATCAAGGGGATGGGGTTTGACCCTTCCTCCTTGTTGTTCATTCATGGGTTGATTTCGATGGCTGGAATGAAACGTCCTAAGTGGGCGGCCAAGATGGCTGTCTTTAAGAAGTTCGGGTGGTCAGATGACCAGGTGAAGGCGGCATTCTTGAAGCAACCCAAGGTTATGGGTTTGTCTGAAGAGAAGTTGGAGAAGGTGTTGAATTTTTTCATGAACGGGTTAGGGTGGACCGCAGATAACTTGGTCACGTATCCCACCATTTTTATGTCGAGCTTCGAGAACTGCATTTTGCCCAGGGTGTCCACTCTTCTCACCTTGGTATCGAACCGCCTCTTGAAGAGGGAGTCGGTGGCATCTGGGCTCGTGCTGTCTGAATCTGTGTTCTTGAGGCGGTTTGTGATGAAGAATTCGGTCAAGGCACCCCATATTTTGCTGATGTACCGGAATAAAGAAGTTCTGCCACAATTTAACTTGGTTGAGGTAACACTCGTGAATCCCTGCAGCTCTACGTTCATCTTCTTTTGTATTTCCTGATTCTTGGGTTGATTTGAACTTAATGGGATACGCGTGAAATGGAATACGAGTTCCCCTGTAGATGTATCTTAGGGTTAAATGAAATGCAGCGCGCATAATGGGATATCGATGGCATATAGATGTATCACGGTTGTTTGGCGAGGAAAATAGCTGCTAATCTGACTTTTTGTTATTGGTTCTGTGTTGTGAACAATGACATGTGAATGCCTCTGTGGGCATCGCGGTAGTGGCTAGGCCGAAATAGGTGCACCGACCAACGCTGTAGCAGGTCTTGTCTGCCTCGTAGCAGCATTGGTAGACTTAGTGCTTATATCATTCGTGTTCAGTATTTGGGAGGTTCTATACAAGAATTGCCTACTGCAGTTTGCTTCTTTCCTTATACGTCCTTCTGGATGGGGAAGAAATTCATCTGTCCCCCAAAGTGTCTGGTTCGCGAAAAGAGAGAACTTCTGGATGAATTGACGATGTTGGATAGGTCTATACAAGTCAAGCAAGTCTCTGGCTTGTAATTCTAGGACCCTGGGCAAATCAAGCAACAATATTCGTGCTTTAAAATGTTGAGATGAAGTAAGTTATACTCAGCTGAACAGTCTGCTTTTATGTGCACTCTATTATGTGGTTATAAACTAAGCTCTTACCGTAATTGTTGTGCACGTTTGATTACATGAAGACTCTAAAAAATTAATCGGTTGGGAAGTTTTACAGATTAAGCAATGTACATAACTCCTTTGTTCCTCCGGTTATATTAAATGCTCGTGCTTATGGTTGCATGAAGGTCTCTGCTTCCTCTCTTTTTTCCCCGTTCCTTTTGAAATTTTCTGCTTTTTTCTTTTGGTTGGTGGAAAATCAGATTGACTTTCCGTGTTTATGTCGAATTAATCTTTTTACAGTGATAGACTCAGAAAGCTAGAATTAGAGATATATTTTTTTGGGTTGGAAAGATTGTTTTCTATTATAGTCATTAACAGGTAAATGATAAGCTACTATATGTATGATGACTCAAAGTAGTAATAGTCAACTTTTTTACCTGTCTTTTGAGGTTACAATTTCTGCATTGAAAACAACAGGATAAGTTGATGCAGCTATGCTTAACAAATTTTGATTACGTCGTGATTGTCCTTAGATGTTATCAGTGATGTGTTCGTAAATGTTCTCATCAGAAAGAGTGATTGGACATTGATTTGTGCTTATTGCAGTCCATAGAGATAAGAAATATGTGCTAGTGGTGTGCGTGTGTTAGTACATAGGGAGAGAGTTTTATGTCTTGAGTTTCATGTTCACTCCAAATAATAGGAGGACAGGAAGAGTTATACTCTCAACCTCATAAAATTGGTTAAACTTGTGATTTGGCTTGCACATTGACTCGTGCGTTGATGAGACGGCAGTCTCGCTCTATTTAGCCTCCAATAACTCCTCTTTTGTTGAATTAGTATTTAGTATTTGTCGATGAAGTCGCAGTTCTCTTTAGTTTCAGCAGTCGTGCGTGAAAATTGCTATCACCCACTAAAATTACAGAGTTCTCTGGCTTTTACCTCCCTATTTTTTTGCTCAGTCTTGGCTTTTGGTATTTATGATGCAGGACTCGTCGAAAAGAATGGTAGAGGGTGACCAGTGTTTGTAGCATCTTGTTACATGAGCTTTGGAGGAGGTTCCTAGTAGTTTTTAGCTTATGCGGGATGTGGAAGTTTGTCGGGTTTTCAATTCAGACTAGGGCAGTTTCTCTTTTATTTTTTTGATTTTCTGAAAACTCTTAGTGAGAATTTTGCTTATGCTGATCGCAATTTAAAAGTTGGAATTTAGGATCTTGTTTTCCAAGGGCATGTTCATGTTGTATCATGTGTGCATTTGCTGAAAGAAAGCACTCCTAAGGGGTTGCGAGGATTTCTCTTCAACATTGTCCTGTGGCTGAAGTTTGTGGCAGCAATTGAACTATTTTTATGAAAGGAGGTCTTAATGTGTGCATATACTCTTGTACACATACATTGAGCAACTGGGATAGAGAGAGCGAGAGCAAGACCTAGCGCTGCCACGGCTCACCCTTGTGGCAGGAAACATGCGATTGCCAAGGGTCGCATCGGCTGACACTGGGATGTTCGCAGGTGAGTCATAGGCGAAGATCTCTCTCGACGGTTAGTGTCACAATTCTAGCCAAAGCCCGCGACCTTTCTTGAGGTTTGGCTATGGACGGTCTTCAAAGGCTGGCCAACCGCAAGCACAGCCCTTCCCCCACCCCCGTTACCCTGTGTATATACTGTCGCAGCATCAGCATCATGTGTCAGCTTTGCCGCATCAGTTTTGTCAAATCAGGGGAGTCGATTGCATAATTCAAACTACTGAAAGGACTGGATTGCCAAAAACATTTGACTTTGACGATGCAATCGCATTATCATCAGGACTCTCCTGAGTGAGAATGCTTCTCCACATCTGTCTATTTCCACTTTACAATCGACTTATTAGTCTGAACATTCTGGATAGGTTGAGTAAATCGTCTATAGTTCCCCATCTCGAGTGCCCCTTCCTTCTGGCTAGCCTCTCCATCTCCCTCTGTCTCTTTCCCCACTCCACGTGACTCGTTTTCAAGAAGCCATTCACGGACCCAAAGTCGAAAAATCGCAGAGCAAGCGACATGGGCCCGTGAGGAATGAAGCCCAGATTCAACTCAAACTTTCTGCAAAATTCTCCCGTCTTCCTCAGGGAAAAACAGAGAGAGAGATAGAGACCGTCACAAGCTTATAGAAAGGCCAGCAAGGACGGACCCCTCCTCCTATTGGCAGCATGGCTGCAGCTGAAGCCAAGTGTTGGGGGAGAGGGTCTCATTTAAAGATTAATTTATTTAGACCCGCAAGCTCTTCTTTCTTTTTTCCCTTTTTCCAATTCATTTGACCCTCCCACAATCTCTTCTTTAAGAATAGTTGGTTAAACCCCCCTGACCATCATGGGTTGGTATTTTTGTCCTTCTCCCTTCGTTTTCTCCTTCCTTCGGTCCTCCTCTTCTTGCTTTGGTAAACCAACTTCGGATTTAGCCCAAGCGAGCTCACAAAATCTGATTACAGAGAGAAAGAGAGGGAGAAAATGAAGACCCACCCACTTCTTTCATAACTATCCTCTCTCCCTCTCTCTCTCTCTATTTCCATTCTGTCTCCCACGTTGTGCTTCATTTTGCTCGAGGAAAGAGAAACAGAGAGACGAGCGTGAGGGAGATTCTTGAGGGCCCCAGATGAGAAGGTCTCCTCCTTCCTCTTCCTGCTCTTCTTCCCCATCGTCATCGTCCTCTTCATCAGCTTCTTGTGTTGTTGGGTCTGTTAGCCCTCCTGACATATCCGAGAAGCCCAAGAGGAAACGCTCCAGGAAAATTCAGAATCGCAATTCCTCAGCTGATGATCAGTCCCAGAATGCCAACAGCCCCAGCTCCGCTCGGAGAAGCTCCATTTACAGAGGAGTCACCAGGTTCTCCCTCTCCCTCTTGTCTCCCCGTGTCTCTCATGCTCTATGCACACGAGGGAACATGACAAAATGCGTTCTTGAGTTCATAATCTTTGCGGGTTTGCACTTGCATGCGCGAGTACTCGACAGCTGATCGAAAAAAAAAAACACACACACAAAAAACAAAACAAAACAAAACAAAACGCAGGCACAGGTGGACAGGGAGGTTTGAAGCTCACCTCTGGGACAAGAGTTCTTGGAACAACACACAGAACAAGAAAGGACGACAAGGTGTGTAACATGGATTCTCCATAATTTCTCTCTTTTTTTCTAATAATTTATGAACAGAAAAATCTCTGTTTTATTATTGTAATGGGGGCGAAACCAATGAGATCCGCAACATTTGTTTAATGTCCATTGTCATGATCAAGCTCTTCTTACCAGAGATTTGTTTACCAACTGACTCTGTTTTTTTTATTCCTGATGATCCCTGTCATTGCCAACGTTCATGTTCGCTTTTGTCGCTGCATAGTTTATTTGGGTAAGTCTCAAGATCTCAAACCCCAATTTCCAATTATCTTTTCCTCTGGAAACAGAGTCTATTAAGACGTTCCATTACTTTTAAAATCTAGATGTCTAGCAGTAGCTAACCCTGCTTTCTGGTTTTTTCCGTTTCGTGGCGTCGTTGTCCCAAAAATGTAGGCGCTTATGATAGCGAGGAAGCGGCCGCTCGCACCTACGACCTCGCCGCCCTGAAGTACTGGGGGCCCAACACGATCTTGAATTTCCCGGTACTCGAAACGAGAAGAGCCTGACGGCAATCGATTCGTTCTTTTCATTTTTCCCGACGACTTTGTCTGATTTTTTCCTCGAGATTTTCCAGATAGATGCTTACGAGAAAGAGCTCGAGGAAATGCGGAACGCCTCCAAGGAGGAGTACCTGGCGTCCCTGCGGCGGCGCAGCAGCGGCTTTTCCAGGGGCGTTTCAAAGTACCGCGGCGTGGCCAGGTGAAGAGAGAAGAAAAAAAGAAAAAAAACCCGTCTTCGCGGGGGACATTTTTACTTGTCTAGTGAAATTGGCCACTGAAGATGAGCATTTGAGTACAATGCAAGCTCTAATCGAATCGAATTGGATTGGATTGGATTTGATGATGGGTTTTTCTCACAGGCATCATCACAATGGGAGGTGGGAGGCTAGAATTGGGCGAGTTCTTGGCAACAAGTATCTCTACTTGGGTACATACAGTGAGTCCCCCCCCAATTCTCTATTTTATTTTACTATATTTTGTCATAAATTGATGAATTTTACTATATTTATTTACCTGGTCCCAAACTAAAGCTTGCTTTGACTTTTTGTGTTCACCAACTTCACCTTTACAATTCAATGTACTCCTGCAGCCGTCAATTCAGATCACTCTGCCTTTGATAGTTGATTCTCTTTTGGTCTATAGTTAAGATCATTCACGGTCCGTTGAACTTCACATTAGGAAATACATGATGAAGCGGCACCTTCATAATTGTGAAAACGGAACAGATTAATCAATGACAGCAAATAAATTCTCAGACCCTTGAGGAAAACAAAAAATGATGGTAAAAAAAAATTGTCGCTTTTGTCAATTGTCTACCAATTTTTCTGTTTTTGGGGGGGCAAGTCTACCAAATTTGACCTTTCATTTTACTTCCTTTTTATTAGTGAGTGTCATTACCATTTCGTTTTCGTAGTTGGGCAATTGCCCATTCACTTGATGCATCGCTATCCAAAGCATGTTTTCCACATTGGTTTTCTTTTCTCCTTTTTTTCCCGTAAAGTTGGTAAATTTCTTTTGTTGACCCAAATCCCCACTTGGTCAAAATTCTTTTGTTTTCTCATCAAGGTTTCCATCAAGTTTTATGGCCAAGGTTAAAATTCTTTCTAATTCAAATATTAATTCTTTTGCCCCTTTTTGGCACTAATGTTCCAAGATCGACTTTTTAAGGGAACTATATACATATATAAATAATTGTTTGAATATGAATGAACTTCAACTTAATGCATGAAGAATTTTTATGCCTGATTAAGAGAAATCTGCTCAGAAATTCTGAAATGAAATGAAACATAATATCCACGTGGCAGATATGCAAGGGATGGGGGTAATGACAAATGGGTTATATGGACTTCCACATTTTGCTTGAAACCCTACTGAGATTCATCCCCAAAAAAAAAAAAATATATATATATATATTTTAAATTTCGAAATGTTATTTTCTGGTCTGACAGAACACAAGCCGCACTTGGCCTATTGCCAAGCATGCATCACGTGACTTTCCCACTAGGGATGCAACGCGTGCGTGCGTGCGGGTCACTATCATAATATCTTTTTTATTCTAAAAATTAATAATTATAATTTACTTTTGAGATCAACAAATCTCTTCAAAAATCTTTATTTTTCTTTTCCTTTTTTGCATAATGACATGCACAAGAGGTCACGTGAGGGTGACTGTGTGAACTGTTGAGGGGTGCACTTAAATCCAGCTTTAAATCATTGAATTTATGAACATTACCGTACAAATGTATATTTCTGTGTATATAAACTGTGATGTGCCCAAAAACTTTGATGATTTGTATAGATTTCTTGTACTTTCGATGAAAAAGATGAAAATCGCTTTCTGAACAGCGCGTTCATAAGCCACTACTCGTTTCCGAATCGGAGTTTTCATGGATGATGTCGTTTTCCTTAGTACCGAATTCGGAATCCATCTATAGCTATGCATGGCTTGAATTGACGCTTGGGTATTGCAAGAAATTCGTTTTACGCGTGTTTCTTAGAGAAGAGGACCGAAGATAGGCCATTGACCGCGTCGAAAGTCTGTCCGTCCTCAAAATGGCTAAGTTCCGAAATCGGGGCACTCGAATCGCGTGGCGCGAGAGCAACAGTAGTGATGCTCGTGTGATGTGATTCACGAATGATGGTTTCTTTCTGGTATGGTCGGCTCTTCAGTTTGACCTCAATGGGTTTTCCTTTTTTTCCCTTTATTGGCGCATACATACTTCAAGCTTTCAACCCTAAAGATTCTTGATTATAAAGTTGTCAGCAATAGTTAATCTTGCTTACCGGAAATTAGTCAAATGATCAATTGGCATCAAATCCTTTTTTTTAGTGAGGGGTGGTCAACAAAATACAAATCTTGACTGAATGGAATAGGATGTCACGTGATTTCTAAATCCCGTGTTACTTGCTAGTAGAAGCTCAACCACAAGTTAATCAATGTTAGTTCAATCCGTGGAGTCTGCAAAACTACCCAATTGTTTAAATTCAATGTTAATTTTGTCTCTTTGTTTGAGCACAAAAAATTGAATTAATTTGTTGGTTTGTTTGCTTGATGAAGATACACAGGAGGAGGCGGCGGCCGCATATGATATGGCGGCCATCCAATACCGAGGAGCGAATGCGGTGACAAACTTCGACATTAGCAATTACGTCGAATGCCTGAAGAAGAAGGGCGTCCATATCAACCTGCCGCAACCCCAAGCGACACCAGCTGATACTCCTGAATCACAGGAAACACAGTATGTCATTGTTCATGATGACCCGAAGCCGCAAACACCTCTCGAACAAGAAAAGCTAGAGCAAAAGGTCCTCCGATATGCCGATGACCTCGACCTCGGCCCATCTCCCAATTGCATGGACATGGATTCCTCTGGCATAATGGACTCGGCCGACGACCAAGAGCTCGCTCCATGGAGCTTCTGCATGGACGTGATTGGGCTCAACCCGTTGCCGATCCCGGACCTTATGATCGAGAAGGCCGGAGAACTGCCAGATCTGTTCGGCGAGCGGGGTTTCGAGGATAACATCGACTTGATCTTTGGAGGGAATTATGGAGTGGTGGAGGTTGAAGGGAATGTGATGGAGGGTAATGATGGGCAAGGGATGATGTTGTTGTGTGAGAGATCATCATCCTCCCCATCTTCTTCAACAACTTCACTTTCTTGTGACTATAGTAGTGTTTGAAGGTCTTCTCTGTTTTCTCTCTTTTTTTCATACCTTTTCTGGGTGGGAGATATGTTTGGAAGGTAAGAACTGGTAGGGTTTGTTTAACTCTTTTTTGATTTTTCCTTTCTTTTGGTGGAGTTGGAATCTGTTGGGGGACGGTTGATGGGAAAGATTAAATAAAGCAAGCGTTCCCAAATCTCTCTCTGTCTCTCTCTGGCATCTTCTTTTTGAATACATAAAGCCGGTTCCCAGTGATGGTCGGTGTCTTGGATCAAGCATCAATACACACCAAGATCTGTTCTGCACACTAAAGGAGGAGGAAGATTTACAAGTGGGTTGTTGCATAGTTGGACATGATCTTTTTGCATCAGCAAATCTAGGATGTTCTGTTGCAATTTCGGCCTTGATGTTGCATCATAGCTAGACCTGTTCAAGGCATGGGTGAGCTTGATCTAGGTGGGTAGCTCCCACCTTGGAATCAGAGGTGGAATCAGGAACCGTCCACCAAGGACCGGTTTCGAAAAATTGAAATTGTGAACCGCTCATTGGTTTTATGGACCTACTCGAACTTCAAGGTCTCTCGGTTTCATAGGCCCAAGAGTCCAAGACAAAACATGCCGTAGAAGTGACAACAAGCATGAGTCTACAGACAGAATCTATGCAGACATTTGCTATCTTTTCTCGGTTCTACAAACGGATGATGAATCTTAACATTTTAAAGGAAAAAAAAGAAAAACAGATGCCAAACGACAGAGAAAATTTTCAAACCGCGCCAGAAGAAGAGAAAAAGCTTAAAAAAATAATCTGACAAAATCCCCTTCATCCTTTCCCTTCATTGCCTTTATATTTAAAGGAACGAGATTTACACCCTCCATTGAAGAATAAGGCATCATCTAGCAGCATGAGCAGAGCACTACCATTTTGAGCACCATTTCATTTGCAAATGAAAATTTCCATTGCTATCATATGACTGATTCCGTACGTACAGTTGCAAAGAAGCTGCGAAGGGTTTGCTTGCCAAACAAGAAAATATACCATTGTGAGTGCATTTGCTCCTACTCAGTTTGAGAAATTGGCAAAACTTTTATCTTCAACTTTGAAGAGGGATGCGATCAATTCCGAATTCCTGAAATAAATAAAGAAGATAATCAGGTCGTGTACAACAATAACCGCAAAAACATCAAAATATCGATAGGATTTCAGGTCCAATGCCTTATCGTGAAAGGGAGAAAAGGATTCAGATTCAGTTAATAAAGCACACGAAAAATTGGAGTAATAGTGCAAATTTGGTGCGAGAACTCACGTTTTAGTGTCGACACCTATCTACTGATAGGAGGTAGAAGTTCTTCAGCTCCAACCTTCATGTTAGGGCCGAATGGCACTCTCCTTGTTCCAGTCTCAGTAACTACGACATCCACCAAAAATGCCGAGCAAACCGGGCGGTGATCCGAAAACTGGGACTCTCTTCGAAAGTAAGAAATTTGTCGTATCCCATTTCCGTGCCATAGTATTCGGTCGCACCTGCGATCATCAAAAGATTGAGTGTTTGCCGCTTATACCAACCAAAAGAGCGAGGATAAAATGCTTTTAACGAGCACATACCATGCCGGAGTTCTCCTTTTGTCCTTCGATTTCACATTCTCTCCTGCATAGGCGTCTGAGTTGTATGAGAACTTGTAAGTAGGCGCAAAGGAGATCTTTCCCTCCTTCCATCCCTTGAACACTCGGCCTGCCTCCCTTTCAATCTTCAACTGCCACAAGGAAAATTAAGTATATATGAGCTACTAAAACAAGAAGAGAAACTACCGAGGTCCTGTAAGGAAACACACAGTCGAATAAAAATTATGTTTCGCAAAAAGAAAACCTGATCTTTGTCGAACAGTGCATCCCATGCGTTTCGGTCCATGAGCCCTATAGTCTGGGGATAGCTCAAAGAAATTCGGTAATTCAAGTCGCCCAACCAAATGACCCGGCTGAAACCATTTTGTGCAGGGCACGAAAGTATATCAAAACTCAATACATTATAGCTTGGCTAAGGAGAATTTATTAAACAGATCAGCATGAGAAAAACATTGATGAACTCGAACAAGTCTCGGTGGCACTCACTCATGTTCTAATATTTTCGTCGGTATCCTGCTGTTAGGGATTCTGCATCTCTTTGGGAACTGAGTGTTCTTGAGAATTTCTATCACGTCCGAATTTCTCCTGAGCTCATCGCCTTCCTTTTCCCCAGATGCCAGGTGACTGCATATAAAGCAAAAGCTCGTCTGATGGAATGACATACTAACTGAAATGCAACCCTGCAACCAAACAAAAGCAAAGAACAAAAAATCAAGATTCAAGATTTTCATCGATGTCCAAGTTGCAGCAATTTTTTTTCATTCAAGTTTAATTATGAATGTGTGCAGGCACAAATTTAGCAAAAAAAGTTCACCTTATTACCGAGACATCCCATGATCCCACGGCTAATGCACGAGATTCTTAAATGGCTTACATGCTGCACGAGCTCTCTCCTGATCCATACCGTGACAAAAATTCCAACCATCTGCTTAATCGCTATGAGACCGTACTTCATCTGATTACCGACAGAAGCAGCTGCAATCTCCGTTATCTCAAAACCGTTTGATCCATCATCTTCCTCCTCTGAAGAGATGTCGTCTTCGTTTATATTTGGCTGTTGACACCGAAAGCAGAGATCTTTACTGTTTTTCCTCTCTAAATCAGATGGACAATTGCAAGCCTTAAGCCGCCTTCTACTCTCCGTCCTAAAAACTTTACTGATCTTCTTAAGGGAAGGCTTCGGGAAGAAAAGTGAACTGGTAATAGCGGGGCTAGCTTTCAGTCCTCTATAAGCAGCATTATGCGGTTTGTTGAGTGACTGGTTTATTAATGTGAGCCACTTCACTGCAGGTTCAGTGTCTTCAATCACAAGCACATTCCCGGCATTCAATGGGACGATTTCCTGAAAACTGGTGTCTGAAGAAACTTACTAAATGAACAAAAGAGCCAAGGCAGCATGCATCTCTGACTTCTTTGAAAATTCCTCATCCAAATGCAAACAACGTTCAAGACACTATAATGATGACTGAGAAAAAACCAGCATCTTCATCATATGAACAGAACTTGAAAAACATCTTTTCCCTTCTAAATTGTCACATGGCAAGAACGCTATTTGGTTGCATCGGTGCATCTCCTAATCAAGTGATTGATGAATAACTAACAGCTGCTAAGGAAGAAGATATGGCTTTCAGTAAAGTTACAAGAAAGAAACGGTAGGCCGTACCCCAAAACATATATGTCTGATGGATCATGGACTTGAAGAATTTCATCTAAATTGAGGCTTCCACGAGGAGATTTGCCTCCAACGTTCCATGTTGCAACATAAACCCTGAAAATGAATTTCGAAACAAAACATGCAAAGGGCAACTCGTTCAGAAAAGCGTGGTCAGGGGAAGAGGTAAAACAAAAGAAAAAAGACAAGAATCATAGTAAATAAGTACCTGAAGGTCTGAACATTTCGATCCAGTGGCATTCGCCCGATGCCCCCGAGACAAGAACTCTCAAGTACCGAACCCTGCTGTTGATCTGGAAAGCGCAAGATGAGAGATAAGTTTAAATACATGAAACATGAGGCACAATATAGTGCTTGAAGCATCTGAAGTCAGGAACAAACTTTATCTGATGGTGATTGGTGGCGAAACAGAGATATCCTAATAACCCTAGCATATCAAAGTCGCCATTTTACTTCCACTAAGAAGACATCCGGGAATTTAGAAACCGAGTATCTCCGATTTTTCGTTTGTTCTCATATCTTAGGAGATATTTTCATGAAGAAGGGCCATTGGAAAGAATGAAGAAAGGGGTAAAAATTCTCGCTTCCATTCCTACTCTAGCTTAAAATATCGAAAATAGAACATATTCTTCCTTCTAGACCAATTGCATGAGATTCTCTACCCCTTTCTTGGACCTCTCTTCGTGTCCTTCCTTGTTCCTAATGGTACTTTCGCGCCACGAAATTGCAGATATGGACCACTGACCAAGTCCAAATATTCTCAAAAAGAGATATTCCAAAGATGATAAATTCCGTTCATATTGAAGAAAGAAATCCAATTATCTGGTGCCCCCCGTGCCTTATTTGTAACCTTTCTCTTCTATTTCGACCAGTAATAGTTTCTGGGCCCTCAAATTTCACTGTTGCTCACATCGAGAATATAGTTGGCTTCTAGAAAATTAGGCCTGAAGATTGCTGTACAGCCAGAATGAATCTATAGCAATTACATCCAATGAAAGAATCGAAGATCGCAAGCATTTACGACTGCAAACTGCAGATAGAAAACAAAGGCGCATTCGGCTCTCGCATTCGAATAGTTTCTGAAGAAAACTCACCAGGGCAGTCGCCTAAATTCATCTTCAACTTCGTTCCGATCCAATTCTTCATCCCCATAACTTTCTTAGAGAATGACTGAAATCAAAGCACACGGTTAATTCTTCAGAATTCCGACAAACAATTGGTCTCTTCATATATATGTAACCCCATAGAATCATAATCTACGGGCAAAAACAATCACAAACAGAACTATGACAATATAATAAGAATAGAAGAACGAAAGGTGGGGAAAAAATTTAACCTTCTTCTTGATCCTCTCTTGATTCATCAATGTCACAACCGGAACTGCACTTTCTCACCAATGGAACAGTGACGATGTCGAGCAGGCAATGACCTTCGAAAAATGAATTCGCGTTCCGTCGGAATAGCACAATCATGAACCGGAAATTGCAACCATCAATGAATTGGAGAAACTGAAAGATCTCATGTGGATTGGATAACGTTTACATACGAGGGCGAAAAAGGCATATGAGCAAGGTGATGAATGATATTAATGAGCAAGAGAAAAGAAATCGCCAATCTCACATCCCAAGCACCACCCCCTCCAACAAAAAAAAAGCATTTTTCAAAAAAATTCCATCTTACTTTTCACGGCGAAAATCCTAACACTCCCAACTGCATATAGTCGAAACACAAATTCACCCACAAAAACCAGAAGAAGAAGAAGAAAGAAGAGAGAGAGAGAGAGAGATTGCACAAATGCCCAGCAAGCAGACGTGCCATACAATAAACAATTGTGACTTGTTCATCATGATGATTTTTATTTAAGGCAAAAAAGAAGACGGAGAAAGAGTCATAATGTAGGAGTTTAGCAGAGAAAAAGACGAGCATCACAGAACCATCTTGAACATGCGAGTATCGCCATCACGCCGGGCAGGGTGGCAACCCCATATAAGAACTCTCGACGTCCCAAGCCGTGTGTTCTCCCAAGGAATAAAAAAAGTCAACTTTCCCCGAGCAAATACTCTCAGAAACGTATCAAGAAGATAAACAATAACCAGGGATATTTCCGGTTCTCAATTTCTTGGGGAACCCAGTTCGAATTCAGGCTTGAAGGGGACAATGAAGAAGAACAAGGAACCTGGGTATTCGGTCCTGTACACAAAATCAAGGACTCTGTTCAAAGACACATAGGCAAAAGTTGACGTTTCGAGAAGGAGCAAGCGGATAGAGAGAGAGTGAGACAGAGAGAGAGAGAGAGAGAGAAGGGAATGGATTTACGTGCGAAAGGGTGCGAAGAATTAGAATTTGGATTTATAATTTGGTTCGATCGAGAAAGAGAGGAGACGGTCAAAAGGGTGGGAATGAACTTTCTTAACGTCGACGGCTATGGAAAGAAGGAGAACGCTCTGTTGGTCAGTCAGCCAGTTCCCCATTTCCCAAGTGAAAAGAATCGAAACATACCGCCTCACCCACATCTTAAAAGGAGAGTCCAACGCAATCGCTTGCGCTGTTCGAAACGCTCGTTGGTGGGCAACATGGTCTACTGATCAGGTGAACCGATACCATTTCAACCATCGGCGGGTCCCGTTGTGAGGCCCGCACAATGGACGGTCGAGATGGACTTGATTTACAGACCATACAATCGGGTCTCGGCCTTTTTTCTTATACGAATATCATATGGATTGTGCCTTTGGGAGGGAGGAGTTGGAAAGCTGTTTTGGAAGAGGGGAGAAGAAGGAGAAGGGGAAGGACTCAAGGAGAAAGTGGTCCACACGTGTGGCCTGCAAAAGAAGAACAAAGGCATCCAAGAAACATGCAAGTCCTTGTCAACTTGTGGATTTTCTTTCTTTTCTTTTTTGAAGCTTTCCCTTCAGCCTCGGTGTGACTCACTTGGCTCCCTCAAAGCGATGCATTTTTGCCGGCAAGGGTGGGTCGCTCTTTCCCTTCTTTATTAGGGGTCTCTCTTGATCGTGGTCCATACCCTACTCCTCCTTACCCATTTCTTGATACCCTTTGCTGTGTTTTTGTGTTCTTTTCAATTGAGATCGTTTTCAAAAAATTCCTGTTCCTTTTTGTGGGCAATGAGGAGCATGTACACCGTTTGAAAGCGGGTTTGACTCCTTTATGACCATTTCGAAATGCTCGGAAGGTTTCTATTGCTTTATGTGTCTGTAATGATTCGAATGAGAATTCTCGATGCATTTAAGAACGAGCCGAATGTATAAAGAATCGGTACGCATTATAGACACTGAAATCATAATTCGGGGGGTCTCTGTATTTTTCTTTCTCTTTTTGGGAAAAAATAGGATTTACATATTGAGTGGTGAAGCTAATCAATTATTACGCGTAATCGAGTTGGAATATGAATCGATGATAATAATGGAACGTAGAAAAACACAACGTATATATCACGTCGCTCTCTTTGGAATGGCCATGTGTAGGGACATGGGAAGGTTCCTTCTTTGGTAGCCTTCGAAATCGAAATTCGTGGGATTTACGAAATAATAATTGAGAATCACCTTTGTCTTTTATGCAAGTCAAAAACCACATCTTGGGTTCTTGAGAAATAGACAAAAATGCTCATTTTAAAAGTTTCTTCACCTCGCCACAATGTTTCAACTACTCAAGTCTTGATTTTTCTCTTAGAAAATCCGTCATCCTTACAATGTACTTGAGCGGTTAACAATGTCCAATCACAAGAAAGTAGACAATCTCGGGCATCATTGTACTTGACAGCCACAGTCAAGAAAAGGATAAAACTAGAGATGAAATCATATTTGAAAAACATGCATTAGGTTTGTGAATAATTTTACCATAATGCAAACCCCCCATCATCCTATTTCCTTCAAAGAACATCCTCGTTTTAGCTCAAAAGACCGTTTATGTAAAATAACGAGTATCCTAAAAGTTGCCTGTTAATAGTCCAAAGATAAAAAAGAAAAAATAAAGCGATTTTTTATGCACATTAAAAAAATTAAATATTAAATAGATTTTCTCTCGTCGGCGACTTGGCGTGTCATGAAAAAAACAGTGCAACTTTCTAGTATAATTAATGCTTCTTATGAAGCTACTTAGGGGTAGCTTTCAATAAATAAAAAAAGAAACCCTAAATATAATGAATGATGTAATTAGGCAAGAAGAAGTGACCCCATTTTATGACCAAAAAAAAAAAAAAAGTGACCCCATTTGAAGAACGGGTCAGTCCAAACCATCAGACCCAAGCTCTGATCTCTAGGGAAACGGTCAACCAAGCAATCGAAGATAATGAACTCCAATGTTTAGAGTAATCTAAGCTGCTAAGGCTAAGCAGAAAGAGGCAAAACCTGTTGGGAATGAGTGGCAAAGTTTGATGGTCCCAGAAGCTTTAAATTTGTGGGCAAATTGTTAATTTGGTGTTTCAAAGAAAAAGCAAGATGATCCTGATATAGAGGAAGACCAGGAATATTTTTTTCTCTCTCTATTGTTTCTTAAATTTGTGTGAAAAGTGGCGAGAGGAATCTTGTTTTAGAGACAGCATGTTTGCTGTGTTCTGCTTTGTGCTTCAAATTCAAAGCAACCCTTAAATTTATAAATGCGAGTACCGTGTAAAGGAATTGCCTTCGAGAAGGGAAAAAAACTCAAGTTTATTCTACGCTTGCCGAGGAGATGGTCCATCTCATGTCTTTTCACTGGCTTGATTTGTTATCATACGCAAATGTGAGCTCTAAGGTGCCTTCGTCATCTCGAATTCGGATTGAAATAAGATGGGATAAGGCAGGATTAAAAATTCTCCAAGTATTTTCCGAATCGTAGAAAATTCCATCATATGTTTTGGTGCAACATAAGATAGGATTAAAAATTGTTGAAAATCCCTAGTCGTGACCAAGTACTTTGACAAAGAGACACACACTTTGATCCACGGCGAGAGAGAAACGAGTGGCTGAGGAGTTTGTGCATTTTCGATCACCTTAGAGACAGCATGTTTGCTGTGTTCTGCTTTGTGCTTCAAATTCAAAGCAACCCTTAAATTTATAAATGCGAGTATCGTGTAAAGGAATTGCCTTCGAGAAGGGAAAAAAACTCAAGTTTATTCTACGCTTGCCGAGGAGATGGTCCATCTCATGTCTTTTCACTGGCTTGATTTGTTATCATACGCAAATGTGAGCTCTAAGGTGCCTTCGTCGTCTCGAATTCGAATTGAAATAAGATAGGATAAGGCAGGATTAAAAATTCTCCAAGTATCTTCCGAATCGTAGAAAATTCCATCATATGTTTTGGTGCGATATAAGATAGGATTAAAAATTGTTGAAAATCCCCAGTCGTGACCAAGTACTTTGACAAAGAGACACACACTTTGATCCACGGCGAGAGAGAAACGAGTGGCCGAGGAGTATGTGCATTTCCGATCGCCCCTTCACACTCATTTTGTTGCTGGGTTTTGATCCCTTCATAAGATAGGATTCGGATGACGATAATTAAATCCCATTTTTTATCAGTTCTTAGAGGAACCTCTTAAATTCAAAAGAATAAAAGGCTAGATCTGCTTTTTAGTGTATAGGTTACGAGGGAGGAACTTATTCCTTCAGGATAGTTCTCATAACAGCTGGACTATTCTTCTAAGTACATGGTGGGTTCATAAAGAATAGCTTGTGAGATGTGTAATTTAAGACTCTCATTCTGCTTCATATAACGTGCAAGTCATGCATTTGTCGTAGTCGAGAAGATACATCAGCATTGCCCACTCACTCATGGTCATGGTTGTCCTGAATAGTCTTCTATAATAGAGTCTGAATTCCAGAACAACAACACGAGAGCGTAAATACCGTTTAATTATCAGATTCGATCATCATCGGTATGACGAAACTTGAATTTCACATAGCAACATGAGATTTCCAAAAAAATCGCGGACGAAATGGACTGTCCCCATCATTGCGATAGAGCAAATAACAAAGAGACCAGTCCACAAGGCCACACGGAGAAATCTCTCTCATGCACTAACACGCCAAATTCCAGCGAAGAGCGTTCATGTATTATTGAGGTCATTCAGCCAAAACATTCAGCCAAAACAGAAGACAGATCAGCAGTGTGCAATTCAGTGCATTGACCAAATGCCAAACCTATTTTTTGTGGTTTGTACAAACATAGCTCATAATTCTCGTCGAATTTAGGTTAGCAAAACTGAGTAAGAACACGTTTTCGCACATGCTAATGTCATCAATTAGTGCCGGTAATATTCAGCGCGTCAAAGATGTTATCCTTGAAGCAAGTCAAAAAAACACATGCCAAGTTTACAAAAAAGGAAAATTAAGCAACTCACACAAACTTGCAACAGATGCAGGATGACTACGACCTCCTTAGGTTAATTATAAACATAAAGTTTTCCTAAGGAAGACGGAAAAAGGAAGAAGCAGCAAGGCGATTGCTACTATGCTCACGATATGACATTAATACTAATTCTCTTGCATTTACTGGCACAAACAAAATTAGTTACGGGACCCAATGGGACCAAATACGTAAACATAGAGACCAGAAATATTGACTGTAGTCTTCAGAAACTAAGAATGTGCATGATCATAAAGTTCCTGCTCTCAACCAAATATCTCTGAAAATTGTGAACTTCTGCTAATATATTCCCTTCCTTATTGTCAGATATATTTGTTCATATTCTATGCTTGATTAGTTTCATGATTTTTTGGGCCAAGAAAAGATTGTTTCACGCTCTTCACTCTTCAGTCATTTTAACAAAGCATGAAAACCTTTTCACCAGATCCCACTTCTAGCCTTATTTAAAATGGAAAAGATAGAAAGAATCTATAATTTATGAGAACTATTTTTGGTTTCAGAAACGAGATGAGTTCTACCAACCATGTTTTGCAACCAGAGTTTCTATTTGCACCATCAGTCTTTCACTTAAAAACGAAACAAACGCAACTTTTGACATCACGCGTCCCCTGAATGGACTACCTCTCTATTGAAACAAATCATTGCTACAGCTATAATAGCAAAAGTCTCGCAATGTACAACAAATTTACTAATCTAAATTTAAGGATTGAAAATAGTTACACATAGATTGTCTAAACACGAGGGATCACAGCTCTAGAAAGAGAAAAGCAGTCCGGTGGCATGAAGCAGAACCCTTCAGAGCAAAAAACTGGATCTAACCAAGTGATACATAACAAGGATTAAAGAGGGGAAAACAAGAGCCAAAACATGTCAAGACTGCACGGCTAACAGTGCTTCAGATTCAGGCTCGTGACCATGCACTCTCAGGCGATAAATGCAAGTATGAGTGGGGCTTCCATGGTTTGACGTGAAGTCTAACCTGACTGTATCAATGAGACCAGAAGCTGTTGAATCCATGACATTAAATGTTTGAGCATTGCTCTTCTCAAGATCATACATGAACTCTGCCAAGAGAAACATCTTCTCAGTGTCAACTGCTGCTGAATCGGCATGTCCTTGATGAAGCCATCCAGAGACCCTACAGTCCTTAGGAGCACTTGACCTGTCGTAGGCTACGCTCTGTTCATAAATCATTGTCAATCACCAATTTTTCAGTACAAGAGCCAACCAGACAAAAAAAAAAGATAATCAATTCGATTATCTGATGATTATCCACTAAAAAGAGGTGAACAA